ACCCAGGGGGTGTCGCAGCTGGCAAAAAACTTACTGAACACAACAGAGGAATGAGAAAGGAAAAAAAATATGAAAGGAGATTTAAAACAATCCAAAGGAATGCAACCAGAACCAGAACCGAAACCAGCACCATCATCATCGTCTCTGTCACTCACTCAAATTCCCTCAGTAGCAAGTGTCGTTCTCTCAGTGGCTGGACTGTACTATAAAAGAAAAGAGTTGATGGCTCTCGTTGAAAAAAAGGACAAATTCAAGAAACTGGTAAAGATATATAAAACAAAAAGATCGTCAATCTTGCCAGTCCAATTGACCACCAAGACGCAGTGACCGAGAAGTATGTTGACGAAAAAACAGAAACAATTGATTTATTCTATTTTTTTTTTCAAAATATGCCCCCAGAAGTCTCTTCGTTGAAACATTCGTCTAGGAAAAAGCAACGTGCAGGTATCACACAGACCATAACTCAAACAGTGAAATATATTATCAAAATAATTTTGTGTCCCTGCTTTCGATCAATTAGGATTCAAAATCAAAACAGATGGCTCTCGAAATCGGCAAATGAAAAGTTGAGATACTCTTTGATTGGAAGTGGAATCTGGTGGATTTCTCTGCCAAGAAAAACAGACTTTTAACAATTGGTGGAGCAAAAGCAGAGAGACAAGATTTTGGATTTATCACATTAATGGTGAAGGAAGAGGAAGGTTTCCAAAACAATAGACATTGATCTAAAAATGTCGATTGAGCTCTCATTAGGTGAAAGAAAATGAAAACGATTAAAGCGTCAATGCTTCTTCTTTCTGGTTCAATGGTGAAAAACTTTTCAAGTGTTCTGCAACACCTGCAATAGCGGCAGAATTCGTGTGGGAAACTTACACAAAAATAGTTAGAGATCGTTTTCATGAAGGACTGACCTCAGACTGTCACACTCTTCTCCCTTACAAAGACGTAATTTTGACAGAAGAACAAATCAAGGCACACCACGACTTTTTTGGGAGAAGATACAACACTGACATTTGAAACTCTTCACACAAACAATCAACACCCTTTTAACGACGCCGATCGCGCGACAAGAGGATCGTTCAAGATGATAATAATCACATCCTCTTCAGAACTCATGAGTGAGACGTTGTGAAGATGGTGTTAATATTATTCACCTGTGAAAAATTTAAGTTGCCTTTTAAATCAAGGTTGATTCAACATGCTCAAAAACTGGTTGATTTTGAGATTAAATTCACCAGTTGCCTTTCAAATCAAGGTTGACTTGAAATCAACCGTGATTTCCAGGTTAAAATTCACGATTGCCTTTGAAATTAAGGTTGTCTCCAAAATAAGTCAGAAACCCCAATTTCTAACCACAGATTGAAGTAGCTATTTGCACACACCTTTCTATTCAATCACCTCAACTTTATTATAAATATGTATAAACCAGCCTTGTCAGTTGCAGTTTGGTTGCCTGTTACTCCGATCAAGAAGTCACTGTCGAAATTACTTCCTATACTGACAAAGTTCTCTCAAGATCACATGCCTTTACCGCTACCCTCTGACATTACTGCAATGTTGCCTGAGTAGGATCCAAAGTAACCAATACGTACTCGCTATGTTAGAGAATTCAGTTCATATTACAAATCCAGATGTTAAAGAGTGACTGATAAACCAGCCAAAACTAAATGAAATTGAGTTTTGTCATGAGTTTGATGTCCCTGTAGCTACAGGGACATGACAAACTCAATTTCATTTAGTTTTTGCTGGTTTATTAGTCACTCTTTAACATCTGGGTTTGTACTATTAATTGAATTCCCCAACAACGCGAGCACTTATTGGTTACTTTGGGTCCCACTCAGACAACATTGCAGTAATGTCAGAGGGTAGCGGTGAAGTTACCTGCAAATCTTGAACGATCGCTGTTCCACGTGAACAGAGCGTGACTGAAATTTGGCCTTGTCACTCTGCGTTCTTGTCATTGAACCCGCAATAGCCGGCAACAATGGCTTATAAATATAGACGTTTAGTGTTAACTTGTAAAACTCTCTGAAGAAGTGTACGACACTTAGACGAAATGCGTCAGAGAATAAAGAAGTTTTATAACTACTGTTCGCACAGCGCTGCTCACTAGTTTAGTTTTAAATTTTTTTAAAAATTTTTTTAAAAATTATCAAAAAAAAATTAATAAACGTTTGAGTCGGAGCTATCCCTGTCAGCGGTGAAATACAGGAATGGCTCCAGTCTCTGGTCGTCCACCTGAACTGATTAAACGAGTTTAGTTAGCGGAGCTAGTCAGCAGATGACTTTTTCATCGCCGGAATATCGCTGAACGACCTCGCTGAGCAAGAAAGGCTGCCTTCCCTTCACTACGCAAGCAACCATTTCCTGTTTGACACATCGGTGTTCTCACTCGCATTGATATTTTATTGTTCCGCTTCGGTTAACAATACTCACGAGCAAGGAATTAAGATACAACTTATTAACTTTTACTATTTTTATCATCCAATTACAGGTCGGAGCCATTCCTGTATTTAGTCACTAGTGCGATGCTGTGTTGACAAACCCAAGTGGAGATGTTTTGTACCCATTGCGCTGCCGAGTTTCTTTCCAGCGCTGCCAACTTCTGTTATTCTTGTGGTAGAGAGCTTAATGAAAAGGCGGATGAGCCAAAATCTCGAAAATTATCCTACGAAGACTTTAGAAAGCGGAAAGCAGAGGAACGTGGTTCGAAGTTTCGTAAGAAGGCTAAAAGAAATGCCCCGAGCTCCAAAAATACTGAAGCAAGTGAAGTTATAATACAGATTGGGGTGATGATCTGGAAAGATGGAGAGCCAGCGACAAGAAGAGGAAGTAGTTTACCTTTGAAAGTACCTTCCAACGCGACTTCTGAGGTGCTAAAAGCTAAAGCAGTGGCGAAGCAAAATCGCTTCAATTTCAGATTAATCAAAAGCGACAAAGCGTTAGGATACAAGCTCCTCTATCCCGACAAGTCAGAAGTACTAAGAGATTTCACATGGCAAAAGTATCTTGAGTTTACTCTTGGGAAATACAAAGAACTCATACACCCGAATAAGTTTTTATCTCTGCAGTAGCGTTGACTACCTGAGTTACGTTGCGGATGGCGTTGATTCCTCAGATCAGTCTGAAGGTCAGTCAGTTGAAGAATCTGATGATAGCGTTGGACAAAGGTCTTCAAAGAGTGCCCCGACTTTAGCCCCAAGCAAGGTATATACTATAATCAGAGAATATTTGCTCTTGATCAATAACTATGCATTGTTAATTCTTTTTCTGTCTTTAAACCCGCTTGCCTGCCTGCCTTATTTAATGACTTTATTATTTACATAGCGCAAAATACATGGGTATATGATCTAATGCGCTAATTTTATTCCCAGTAATATTCTGAATGAATCTTGCTCTTACCTCTTTTCATTTGATGTTAATAATTTGCTCAGCTAGTTTGTTTGCATGTGTGATTTTTGGTATATCACTACAATTTATAGTGTATGTGCTGAAGTGTAATGCAAATGAATTCGTTGCTAGTTACCTCAGGTTGATGTCTCAAGTTACTTACCTTATCCAAGTGAAAGTACAAGTACAAGTACAATTACCAGAATTACCAGTACAACCACAAGTACAAGTTGTGACGATAGGTTTTCGCGCCCAAACTGGAAAACTGAATCTTCGCGGACGGCACAATAACAACTGGGGGAAATAACTCTGTAGAGACGACTTGGCAGCGAGAACAGAAACTCGTCACGATTTCCTGGTACACAGAGATCTACTTCGAGCGAGCTTATACGGACGTCAAGGATAAGACAATCTTTGGTTCCACAGTACTTTTATTCTAGGTCAGGCCAACAAGCGACATGACCTCTAGCATACTTTAGTTTGTAATCATCAAAGCTGTACAAGGTACTTGCTTAGGAAGTAACTGGTGTGAAGTGCTATTGTTACACAAATCGCAATACTTGAATAAGGACACAAAGGAGCGGAAAAAGATCTCTTTGAAGTTAAACGAAAACTACTTAAATATTCCATCTGTTTCTTCGACGGAAAGAATCTCAAAATTAAAAAGACGGATGCAATAACCTCTAGGCCATTAACGTAGGAAACTTAGGTGCGAATTTACAGCTCTGATATAGAAAACAATACCTATCTTAATTGCAGTAGCGCAGCTCAGGAAATAAAAACGGAAAAGCAATTAAAAGTTTCTGCTTATCTATGCAAGATTGGTTTGGAAACCATCGCATGAAAAGAAATTAAAGTTACGAGTATAAACTCAGCTGCTATCTACCATGAAAATCGATGTTTCCAGAAAGGCCATTAACACTTATATTTACCTAAAAAAACCATGTGATAAATGACAAAAGTGCCGACAACCAGGTGCATATGATGAAAGCGAGTAGCAACAAAAATCTATTCAAAAGCTACTGTGGTTTTTATGCATTTTTTGATTTATTAAAATGAATGGACTTGAAATGGTTAAATGTGAAAGTTTACGAATAAATATGTTTCGAATAACACACACGGGAAAATCAGTAAATTTTCCCGTAACAAAGTACAAGTGATGCACAAGATGCACAAGAATGTCATATTATGAATGTAAGAGTTCCTCGCCGCTGAGAACACTACTGAAATGAGTAGTTGAAAATAGGATCTATTTCAGGTCCTGTTTTCATTTACTCATTTCAGTAGTGTTCTCAGCTGCAAGGTTCTCATACATTCGTTTCTTCACCACAGTGCAAATATGAATTTTCTTATATCTAAAATCATTAATGTGATATTTTTGTGTGTTGAAAATGGTCAGGTAATCAACAGTTACTAATGCAATGTCTTGTAATTATAGATTTCCTATATTTTGCATGACAAGCTCAATCACTGAACCAGTAAGTGTTAAGATCTACTTCTTAGTGAGTGCATGATACTTACAGTCATCCTAGAGAAGATAGCTAAAGCCAAAAACTTGCAGAATTTTTATTTCTTGATTTACTAATTTGCTCCCTCAGAAACATCCTTATGATTCAAACCCAAGATTCAAGACCCTAAGGGATCTTTTCCAACATTTGCCTCTCTCAGACATTGTTGATGTATGGAAAGAAGGAAAGGAATCAATAAATGAATGTGCTAACATTCTCTTGAACAAAGTGAAGTCAACATCTGATGTCCAACAACTGCAAGTTCAGTGCGCATCTTTTTTGGAATCTGATATCCATGATGGTGATGATGATGATGGTGATGATGATGATGGTGATGATGATGTTGATGAGGACAAAAAGTATTCCAATGTTAATACCAAAATAAATAGCCTCATAGATGTGGGGATCCTAAAAGAGGTACTTAAAAATAAAATGCACATGCAGATCTTAGTTGTTTTTCAGCACATGTAGTTTTTTGCTCCCCATTTGTTTGTTTGAGTAGATGAGGAAATACCCTGTTTGTGAAGTCTTTCAAGCCTTAATCATATCAAGGTATAATCAATGATTTTTGGGTTTTAACAAGTTGATGGATTTAATTTATCTTGCATTTAAGATAGCAAGTGGCTTTCACAAGGAGTAGTATCTCAGAGTGAAAGTTACGAGAAAATGGGCATGGAAGGACTTCAAATCAAGCTTGCAAAGAGCCAGAGAATTGAATGTACATGTGAAGGTCCAGTTTGTTGCAGAATCTGCAATTGATGAAGGTGGACCAAGGTGTGAGCTCTTCTGCCTTGTGGACCGTATGGTATCAAATGAGTTGATGCAAGGAGAAGATGGCCAAAAAACTTTTCTTCATAACATGGTTCTTCTTCAGAAGAATGAGTACCATCTGTATAGACAGTGTGTAGCAATGGCATTGCTACAAGGTTCACCAGGTCCTCAAGTTTTTTCAGAGCTGTAACAGAATACATTTTGTTTGGAGATTTGAACCAGGTACACCCATCAAAAAGTGAAGTTCTTGATTATGAAGTAAGAAAGAAGTTAGAAGAACTTGAAGCAATCACCAACCCTGAAATGTTTGTACAGGAGGCATCTTTCAATTTCCCAGAGAGATTTTCTGCTGGATATTGTAATTTAGTTGTCAATGATGAAGATAAAGAAGAATTGATAAGATATGGGCTCTTCACTATGTGGTTTCGTGCTGTCAAGCAGAGTTGGATCAGTTTATAAAGGGTCTGGAGTTGCATGGAGTTCTCAATCCCTTATGTGCACATCCCAATTAAGCAAAGAGAATACTACAAGGCAATCTAAAGTTGCTAAGTGCAGAACTGATTGATTAGATTTTTCAACCTGTCCTTTCTCCTGTAGGAAACATCAACAGAGACCATGAAGAGGCAATCTTAGTAAATTTTAACCATTTTTTTGAAGAAGTAGAGTATGGACTTGTTCATTATGTTGGTGACAAGAATGACTTGCTTTTTAACCCTTGGAAGAGTTCTAAGCTCCATTACTAGGGCAACAAGCATCCCTGCAGTGGGTTTCAGCACTGCTTCTAAAAATTGTCTTTGCTCATGAAGCACCAGTAGGAAGAAAGATGACAGCAAATACCTGTGCTAATGCTATAACATTTCCTGTAAATAACATTTACATGGAGTATGAGTTGTTCAAGAATGAAATGATCAGCTGCATTCAAGACTGTCAGGGATTGGAATGGTGTAAAGGAGTTGTGGTCTCCATAAACCTGCAAAACTGACACTAGATCTTTGTCATTCATGTAACAGGGCAGCCATATTAGTGTACCAGCAGTAGCTGTTTTATATATTTAGGATCAAACCACGGAGTTAAATTCCTGGAGGATAGAAAAGGTATTGTTAACCCTTTAACTCTCAAGAGATCATTAGTAATTCTCCTTACTGTCAGCCATATAGTTTTGTGATGTTAGTTTGGAGAATTTGGTATTGGATCAACTAATAATCCCCTTTTTAAGACTTTCCTTTATTCTCATCACTTGTCTGCTTGATATTGTATGGAGAAATTCTCTCTTGGTCACTTGTGGGAGTTAAAGGGTTAAGGTACACCAGTGTTACTGCTGAAAATGGTGGATTAGAAGAAACAATATGGGAGAGGGATGAGGGACTTGAACTCTTAAGAGGTTGTTCACACTAGAAGTATGAGCACATGCTACAAACACTGATTCAAAAGTACAATGCTCATTTGTTAAATTTTCTTGTCTGTTTGATGGGCATATGAAAAACAAGTTCACCATTAGGAAAATATATTTTTGTTGGATTATTATCTCTTAAGTAAAAATCTTTAAGAAGTGATACATTTTAAATTTTGATATGTTCCTGTTATTGTTATAGAAATAAAAGATGATATCTAAATGCCAGTTAAAATTCACTCTGCTGAAACATTTGAATGTGTTAGTCACATGCTCCCTTCATTACAGTTGCATGGGTATTGCATGCTAGTAAATTTAAGAGATGATATATTAAACACCATACCTAATTGTCACATTATAACAGTACAATCAATTTCAATTATGAAATCAATTTCAATTACGATTCAATTTGATACACTGGTTTTCCTAAACCTGGGAAACAAACTGTGTACAGGTGCCAAATTACAACTAAGGAATGCAACAGAATCAGGGTGGACAATGTGTACCTCACATCTTTTTCTTGGGTTTATGAAAATCATTCTTACAGATAACAAATATACTTTCAGACATTTCCAGTTCATTATGTCAAGCATTGGATCAAGGTTGTCGTAGGTGAATAAAATATTGGAACAAATCAAAAGCTTCTTTTACATTGGTTGGATAATTTTTGTTTGCTATAACATATTCATAATATTCTGCATATTCTTCTGTATGTTGTGGAAGTTCACAATACTGATCCATTTCATCTACTTAAGCTTGTGTTACAGGTATGAGACAATCAGTAGCTCCTGAATACTCAGGTAGAAAGAACAAGACATCTGGCACTCCTGAGACTGTGTCATGCCTTGAATGCCTTATATGATGGCTATTCTAGTGATCTTCAACTTTATCAAGCTCAGCCTGGATTACTTTGGCAAAGGAAAACCACAAACATTCCAAGTGAAAAGTGTCACCCAAATTGAGTAACCCAGACTCGGACATATCCTTGAAAAAGGAAATCCACCAGCTAGAGTTGCTGTGTTTCAGGAAAGACCACCAACCTTCAATCCATTGGTTTGCTGGAGAAGAGCCATACCTGTGGGCCTTTTCTGCAGCATATTCATCTTGATCTGTTGCTCTAAGACTACATTGTATGGCTGCCAAGGTCACATTTTTTGTTCCACAATCTGATCTTACAATCCTTGGACAACCTTTCAAACTTTGAACCGTGTCTAAATAAAGCTTTGCTGGAACACTTGGATCATTATTAGATTTCACCACTTCAAGCCAAGGAATTCTCCTGCTATACCAATAAATACAACCATGAATGGGAAATCCATACGGCTTGAGCTTGTCATATCCTGATGATGAATGGGTAGAATGAAATCAATGGGTTTTTTGAAAAAACCAGAGTGGCTTAGGGTAAGAGTAAAATACTTTTTTTAACATATAGGACATAGCAAATCACATTGATTTTTTGAAGCTGCGATACAAAATCTATTAAATTTAAATTGCTACGTTTTTAAAAAATCGAAAGCTTTCTATTCTACTAATAACCGAAATAAAATGAAATAACTGGAAAACTTGTTAGATTTCTGATATAAAATTCATCACTTGCTGGTAAACTACTTACCGTCTACATGCCAGCAAAAATTTGGTCCTGGAGATAGATAGTTTCGTCTCGTCAAACTTTTTTTTTTTTTGCAGCATTTATTAATTTGCCGTAATGTTTGTTCTTATTTGTTGGAACTTTTACTAATTTGCGGCAACATTTATTAATTTTACGCAATGTTTTATTATTTTTGCATCAATATATATTTGTTTACATCCACATATATTTTTTTGCACCAATATAAATTTGTTTGCAGCTGTCCCCTGTATGCTTCTTTTAATAATATCTAACAACTGTTAGACAGTATTCAGTCAGCTTGAGAATAATACTTATTTTGGTAGAAGTAATGACGAGTATCAGAGTACCTGCTTTTTCTTTCATTTTACATTTTTCTTCATTAAAAACAACTACTCTCAAAAGTTCCATTTTAAGATTAGTGCTTCAAAATTAATATCGCCTTGCACCAGGGTTATCATAAAAAGACATCCTTGACCAAATGAGTGTGCACATCTTTGTAATCACCTGAGCAAGTACACTAATTTAGTATATACTAAAACAGTGAATAAAATTGCAGGCTTGCTCAGGTTCTACTCAAACTTCAAATATCTTCTGTTATTCAAAACATTCTGCAATATTATCCCACTGTTTTGGTATCTACAAAAACAACTCTTCACCTCAGTGTCGGTGGCTAGTGATGGATATTTACCATGCCGCTATAGAATTAAGTGAATAGTTGTTAAATATCTTATGCATTGTGTAGAGTTGAATACACCCTTCCTATCACTAAAGAAAAGAATATCAGATATAAAAGTAGTAACATACTGTTTAAGAGTGGAAATTGCCATCTCTAGGAGACTTGCTTATCCTAATTATGTATTAACTTTAAAATGAATGTCACAATTGTTGTTAGTCACTTATTACTAAGTCTGAGTGCTTATTGGTCAGCCTGAAAGTGAATTTACTTTTCATGGACAAATATCCTTGTCTCCTGCTTAGGCTAAAGAAACAATTGTGGTCTGAGAGTCAGTAGCTAGTTCAAATGATACTCTGGTCACACCAGTTCTAGATGGCTTTCAAGTCATATTTTTATTTGGTTCCATCTAACACAATACCACAAGTTAAATTTTAATCTACCCTACCACTAATAACACTTTGCTTTATCTTTGGAATTACAATCTCGATTAATCAGCTTGACTTACCATTTGACTGTCATGAAGAAAGGATAAAACAATATTTACCAAGTAGCATAAACTTTCTCAAGAGTCACATTTTGAAGGATTTGCAATTCGTTGCATTTTTCTTACAAACATTTGCCATTCCAGAGAGCTGAAATGTCTTCTGGAAGCTCATTCTTACAGCATTCTGATTGACATGCAGGAGATTGCAAAGCCTAGCTGACAAGACAACTATACAGAAGATTATTCATTCATTGATATTTTGAATCCATATGACCCTCAATATTATGAATCTGAAGTGACAAATTATTTTCTTGAGAACTTTCTTGTTTAACTGAGAAGAGCAAATTGATGCAATTTTTTCCTGCTAGAATTTGATGTATTTTTGTGTACTGAGGACAATCCAAGGAAGTACTGTAAATTTAAATCAAAAAATTTTCATACTACATAGTAATCAAAATTCTTCTTTCCATTTCATATTGTAGTTTTGTTTCTTTCTACATCAACAAAATTTAGCCAAACAAAAATTCCAAACATCCTTTCAGTTTCAAGTACGCCTGCAGCTTACTTAGTCTTTGATTAACAGTCCCAGATGACAAATGTTTCCACAACAACATCAGTGTTCCAAGAAAGATGGCTGTTTACCCTCATTGTTTTTTATTTTAATGTGGAATTCCTTTATACAGTTATCCAATGCTTGCTTGTTTCCAGCAAAATAAGCACTAATTGCATTTTGAAAAAGCAACAATTGCTTGTGCATCACCTTCACCTGTGGATGCAGGAAAAGCAAGTAAATCAGTGGTGAATATAAATCCTATTTATAAAAGTAAATACAATACGAATTATTATTACTTAACCAACTCTTTGATAATCAAAATTACACCTTAAGAACCCTTTCAGTATTGATTGCACCATTGCTACAATCACATTGCCAACAAGATATTGACAAACATTTGTATTTGTAGCAGACAACATCCAAAAATTAACACTTAAAATCAAACAACCTGTCATCTTCACTCCTCAAAGTTGCCTCCAGAATTTACTGCTCATTATAATATTAACTAAGCTCCCCTCTGACATTTCTATTTACTGCATTTTGAGCCCCAGGAATTTACAGAAAGAGAAATTATGCCAGAGGGTGCAAATGAAGTTTAATTAAAGAAACCCAAACAATAGTGTTTTCACATGACATCATGGCATCCATATTGGTATTCCTACACAATGGAAAGTCTGCTATACTTTTGTTCCAAATTAGTCCTGTGGGAGTTGAACTCTTTTTAAAACAAATTCTCTCTCTTCTCTATTAGGTGTATTCAATACAGGTGAAGTGCATGATGTGAACACTCAGATTCAGCTTTTTTTCCAGCCCTGTGTGACTTTGTAGTAAAGATGCTCACCCTCACATGTTAAAATACAGTGTCAAATTTTTCTCCTCATATTTAACACTGTATCACAATTTTCACAACACTCCTATTCCTTTTGCAGTTCAAGAGGAATTTGCTTAATAAGTTCAGTAGTCAATAAGCTGAGTAAGTGAAGGAAGACCAAAAGTTTACTGGCACTTGGCCCATTTACAAGGATGAACCCCAAACATTTCCTAAATTATAATTGAAATCTTGCATGTAGCTAAAGCAATTGCCTTAACATTGTACATAATAGCTGATGTATTAGATGTATTTTCAGTACCTTGTTTTCCTCCAGAAATCTTAGTTTGATCGCTAAATCCCCACGTAGTCTGTCAAATTTCTCTTTTTGAACATCAAACTGTTGCTTTGCCTCTTCAGCTTTCAGAGCTGTCCCTGCTGTTCTTGGTCCAGCTTGGGTGGATTCTAGGTCTGTCCTGTAAGCATCATATTCTATTCTAGCAGATTCATAAGCTTTCACTGTCATGATGGAGTCTTCCATGGTCTTATGCACCAGAGTTGTCAAATTTGATGTAAAAAAATTTAGTGCTCCAAGAAGAACTTCCCCATTTTTGACGAGTGATCTCTGAGATTCAGCATTATAGTTGAATTCATCTTGGAGCTCAGGTGACTTCATCCCTAAATCTGCAAAGGCATCAGCAAGACTTCTTTGACTTTGCACCATATTTTGGAAATGGTTTGTCATCTGTTTTGCTAGTTTTAGAACATTGACATACTTAACTTGGGTTTCCTTTAACAAAAGAATCTGTCCTTCAAGTTCGGTATCTACAGTCTTTGTACCTTTACCAAATCTCTCAGAAAGATACTGCCTAGTATACTTGTATGTTGAAATACTCCATTTCTTTAAGTGATCTATTTTCTGAGCAGTGCCTGGTCGAATGACAGCTTGAGACGAAGGATGACCATTTTGATAAGTTTCTGCCGGTGTCTGCCATGGGGGCAATGAAGAAGGCCCTATTGAATTCAAGAAAGATAAGCAATTTGTGTTAAACCTATCTTACATATAGATGTCCAAACTCATTATTACAATATAACAGTTTTACAACTAAAAGTACCATGTACAGCAATGATTTATCTATTGCTGCATACAAAATTGAACACAAAGGTGCGTCAAGAAGAGGCGACGTCAAACAACAAATTCCTGAGGATTGCTGATTTAAGATCCAAACTACTGACTACTACTCTGCTAAATTTTTCACCAATAGGCAATAGAAAAATGTCACTTTTACTATAGTAAGCGACTTGGCAAAAGCAGTTCTTTAGTTCTCTCCTCTCGATGCTTCTTCTAGTCAGAGGTTTTCAGAGACTCGAGGCAATTTGAATTTCCTTGACTTATTTAGTCTGCCAACCCGGTATTATGAAGGCAAAGTGTCTCGTTTTGATATTCTGACCTTTTTATCCGCTGGTTTGCGTATAAAATGTTAAATGTCACGGTTCGATGGGCCTTCAACACACTTAAGCTAACATAAGCTTACAGAGGTAGAAAACTTAGTAGACTTCATCTTTCACATTGGGTACATTCAATTGAGGATATTATCATACGCGTGGAAACAAAAAAACTCTGACAAAATTGAAAAGTCGTTGCGTTTTTCCATCAAAATTTATTTTGTTCAGTAAATCGTGGTTATTTTCTTACCGGAACTTTCCATTTCTAATCTGGGTGACTCACTATTATCGTCGACCGTCAGTTGAACCGTACGTTCTGATGTGTCTTGTAAATCGGTAGCTACTTTTAACATTTCGTCCATGCCTGGAAAATGTCGTGGATCATCTTCTTCAAAATCAATTCGTGTGGTTGCACTGGTACCAATAGCGCCAGAAATCATATCTTCGTTCAAGTCAGTTTCACGGATCCCGTCCACAACCGCTTCATGATTGTCCGCCATGTTGCTGCGATGATGAGATACTTGCTGACGTGACTTGTCTTATACGGGAACTTCAAATTGTGGTTAGCCCATTGTAAAGATCTGATTGGCTATGGGAGCTGGAGGATGGGCTCCATGTTGCCCGCCTGAGGCCCGCTCGGGATTGTCTGCAGAAAAAATAATCACAATCTACCTTTGACCAGTCTGTGACCGGTTTGACTTCGTCGTAGCCTCTAATAACGAAAGAACTTAACATCTTTGTGCTTTCATTTTTCGTCGAACAACCAACTGTGATACACAAAACTATAGCAAGCCTCCTCTCGAGATTCAGCCTATGATGACACTTCGAGGGACACCAACATTGTGAAAAGGAACAGTTGAAAAGGACCAAGTCATGTAGGTGAAAACCGAAAATATCCCAAAACAGGAGAGAACACTTGGTCCTATTTTTAGCTGCAAGGAAATACTTTTCTAGGAGTTATATGGAACTGACAGAGACAACTTGTTTAACAAAAAAGAGCTTCGTAAGCAAGACAGCTCTATCCTCTCTTGATCCTACGTTAGTTATTAGTTTCATTCAAAAATGGATCAGATCAGGGTGAAACTGTAACGAGAAATCAGACGTTAATCACTATCAAGAATTTAAGGGTTGAAAGAGCAGAGGTACGAGCCTTCGCTCTAACAAAGGGTTGACCCTTGAAGTGTCAACCTTGGAAACTCTTTACGGTTGCCAATTTATATTATCAACTCAGCTGATAATTAAAACCATATCATCCAGAGGTACAAGCAGTTTCCAATTGCAAAGTGTTCCTTACAATGTGCACCAGGACATGCAAAGTAATACAAGAAACTATTTGACTATGAATTTTTTATGCCAGTGGGTGGGCTGGTAAGATCCACAAGAAAGCGAAACAAATTTACGACCCTTTTAAAGCGAAATACAGGAGAGGGCAAAATATAGCTATAAAACTGAAAACAATGGATAAAGGACCGAGTAGCATGGAGTAGAGTCCAATTCGGTCTCTAATTGTGTCAATATCAAAATGCTCAAATTCGAGAGGTTCTGAACAGCTCTTCCTTTGTAATAGTACTAGGACTGAGTGGAGTGCTCTACCTGAGGAGTGATCTCAAATTGGCCGAGTGCATAGCGCGGTGCTGATTTGAAATTATGAGCTCGATCTATACTTAACTGTACGACACGAAGTCCGAACGCCTCCTTCAAGAGATTAACTGCTTACAAGGTCTTCAAAGAGTGTGATTCTAGCTTAGCTTTCACCTGGCCTACTTTTTTTCCTTTCATTTTTTTCATGCACTGAAAATCGTGTAAATGTTTCAACAGAGGGGGAAGAGGCACTCTGTATGAAGTACTACCACTCGTATCGCGGACGAGGCCACAAGACGACTATCACCTTTGCACTCGCGAGGTGAAAGGGATTATTGATTTCAAAATGTACTTACTCAATATGCACATAATTTCCACAGGCATAATTGCCTAAGGTTACAAAACAATGCAACGAACAAGTCAGCCCTACTACACCTGAGTGTAGTAGGGCTATCTAAAGGGCTATCTTAAGGGTGTGACCATGGATGACACTGACGAAAGATCCCGCTTGCATGTACACATTATCCCGGGAAATAGTGAATGGCTCCGAATCACCACCACCGAACCTCAACGCGTGGGAAGAGAATGGGACCCGATAGCCACTTACACGAAGCTAGGTTGGACTATCACCTTGCCTGGTAAAGAAATTGACACCACCAACATGCTTCTCAATTAAACGTCAAGTGTAGACTAGGAAGAACTCTGTACACTAGACTTGCTTGGGTTAGCAGATCCATCTACAGGAGATCAAGCGGTTGTCTAAAAGAGTTCAAGGAAAAACAGCTGCAGAGAAGCGACCAGGGATGATACGAGACAGGACTTTCGTGGAAAGGGAACCACCGACTTGGCCAGAAGATGTAACCACAACCACGACTGCGTAATCACTGGCTGAGGCAAAGACGGTATGCAAGATTTTCAAGCAAGTCACAAACCAGGAGGCGGACGAATTTGGTGCAGTATTTCACAAGTATTTTCTCTAGCCCGTCTCACAAATTGGTGGATGGGTCTCAAGGTTCTTCAAAATTAGACGTCCACCCCGTGAAAGAAAATCAGGACCACCAATCACTGAAGAACTGAACAACCAAAGAAGAGTTTTTAAGAAGATGGCTCCACAGGAAGGAGAAAAGTCAGAAAAATTTTAATAAGATCGACACAACAACACTTTCATTTTGAACATGTCTATTTTTCATCTTGCCCTTCAAAATTTCCTAAGACTAGAAGCTGAAAGCTTACGGTTTAGGTAATCCTTAAACTAAGATAGCCTTTAAGATAACTTTTAACCCATTACTATTCTCTTTTTTGGTGTAATTCTCTCTTGTTTAATGTTGTATGGAACTCATGCACAAATTATTTCAAAGCACCCTCTTAAAGTTAATTGTATCCAAAATACAGCTGGTTTAACTGATAACTTATTATCACTGTTTTTCTATTTTCCTATGTCAGTCTATGTCAGATATTTCTTCTAAACATTCATCATATCTACTAGGGCTCTGACCCTACATTACAAGCTTAAGAAAGAGGAATAGTCTTAGAAAAGGATTTAAGTTCCCCTTCTACCAACCTGCTATCATAATCAGCAAAGAATCAGACATTAACCACTCTCTCTCGCTAAACTCCTGGAGTAGTCCCTCCAGTGGTCAAAATTTCTTTTCTCCCTCTAAAATTCATTTTTGTCCTCCTCCACAAACATGCGCATGTTCATAGGACTTGTACTAAAGAACCCATGGGGGGTTCTGTACTATAATGGGTTTTTGACTCATTGATACTCCCTAAGATTGATATCCTTTGCTTCTCTCATAACTTGATATTGCTAGTGACTCATACATAATTGAAAGGACAAATAACATTCTCTAACCCTATAAGTCCCAGAAGTGATTAACATGTTCAGGTAATGAGAACACTCAAACTTATCACGTAGAAATAATCTTGATCTAACACCACATTCTTGTAATTAATTTTCAGGGAAATGTGCGGCAGCTAGATGAGGAGAATTAACAATCTGATCCTGTGAGTTAAGTGGTTTAAGTACAACATTCAAACCTGCTAATGGCAATACATGCAGACTAAAGTTAGCCAGTCCTATCCACGAGGGCTTTCATGAAATAACTGGTAGCACTTCCACCAGCCATTCCAAGTGTCATGCTTAACACACTTAGGTATCCAACAGTTTCCTTAGCTCTTCCTGGTACTTCAGATGAAGAGTAAGAGATTAGGGATGTTGTCAGATGACCAGTTGATAGACCAAGTACTGCAACAAAAGTTGCCATCCAGGCAGGCCTTGTACTCATACTGTGAGGGGGTACACTAAGACAGATGCCAGCAATAATAAAGAAACGAACAAGAGTAGATAGCCATGCCCACCAAATAGAATACATGTAATACAAAGCCAATGGCCCTCGGCCAATAACATCACCAACATTGTATACTAAAATTAACAACACAGGGAACCAACCATTACCAAGGAAGTCTGTTGCCATGGCAGCCACTGATGGTATCACAACATACTGTTGGGCAGTTACTAATGTAAGCAAAAAACAGTGGCAGAAGACATGTTTATAGCGCAACACTCTCAGTGCTTCACCTGTAAAGAATGCAAAACGTTGAAAAGGATGTTTCCAGTCAGTGTCAAGACCACTTCTTGGAGCTTGGGAGTAGTAACGTTGAAATGCATCACCTCCAATGAGATGAAAGTAAACAGCTACCACTACCAAAGTAAATATGGCTGCTGTCCCAAAGTAGTAATAGCTTGACACATGAAGATTTTTGGTAGCAGTCTTTGTCAAAACTCTTAAAGATGTCATAAGGAAGCCACATAAGCCTACACCAAGCTGTGGAGATAATAACAGAAGAAAATATTATACAACATTTCAGAAAAACTTACATTTATTTAAAAGTTCTCTGTGATATTCATTACAAATATTTAATTTTTGTTTAGAATAATGAGGGCACATCATAACAGTTCCTATTTTAATATCTTAATAATTTAATACCTTAATAATTTAATACCTACCCATTTATAAATCATTACAATTGTGCCACAGAAATTGTGAAATGTACAAACAAAACGATCAGTGTAAAGGTTCATATGTGAAAGAATCGTTGACCAGCCCACACAAAAATAAATTGTATTTTAATCTGAGGGCTCAGTGAGCCAACTTGCATAATTATCAGCAGAATAAAACTGTTTTACATTACAGGGTAAGTAAGTGTTATCAATTGAGTTGCAAACACAAACTGGCCACTGTAAAGAGTTTAAAAGCTGATGTTTCGAGCATTAGCCCTTCATCAGAGCAATTCAATTGCTAAATTACCTTGATTTGGGCTAATTTTCCCCAATTCTGTCATTATGTTTTCAAATGAATGGTGAATAGCTTTGGTGTTTCTTTCCCTTCAAATGAAGTCTAACAGGCTCATCAGAGTGTTAAATTACAAACTCCAGTTTTTTCATATGGTAAATATTTCCCAGTAAGGTTTAACCCCACAACAAACTGGGGTTGATAGGTCTGATAACAGAAACTACCTTGTCTGTGTGAAACTGAGGTTTTCAATCTAGGCCAGGTTGTTCAAAGCATTAAGATAACCTAAGGATAGTGTGAAATCTAATTTCAGATCTAAAAGCTTTAAAAGAAAATTCAGTCAAATTCTTTTTGTCTAGAATATGACTATTTGAGGCTTTAAAAAGAATGCTGAAAATTAAAATGAAAAGGCTTTTGAGTAAAGGAATAAAGAGACCCAGATTAAAATTTAACCCTGGGTTAGCACTAATTGGCCTTCAAACAACTGGGCCCTTGTTGTGCCAGGTTTATCCTTGATTTGAACATTACTTGATTTGATTTGCCTCTGGTTTGGTGTTGTAACATATTGAAAGGAAACAGTACTCCGTGAACAATCAAGCAATCATTACATACAAACCCTGCACACCTCTATGCTTGCCGCTCAAAATTTTGAAAAGTGATATTTGTATATCAAGTTGTATTATCTATGTCCAAATTAAATATGTATATCCAAATTGCAGTATGTATATCCAATTGCCTAAATACATGAATGTCCAGAATATCAAGATGCATATCCATGTCCTTTTTTTTTAAATTTTTTTTAAAATTAATTAATTTTTTATCATAATAAAAAACGGAATCTAACATTTGGAGTTAAATAAGTATTTTATAATGTTATAATATATGGTATGTCTTGCACTACCCCACAATGTCTGTGTCAGTGTGTACTGTCTTTTTTTAATGGTTAGTGACAATTGTTTCATGGATAGTTGTAATTTAAATATTTAAGTAATGCAGCTCCTTGCCTTTGTTGGACACAGCAAGAAATCAAACAATAAAGGAAAAACTATTGATTGCCAGTAAAATGAAACTATTTTAGAGTTACCATGAACAGCTAAATTTTTAAACATATTTCAGGTATCAAGTTTGTTAATGCTACAAAGATGCCTGTCATACAACTTAGGGTATTCCTATGCCATGCAGTTTAAGGTATTCTGTCATTCCATCATTCTGTGAAATAGGGTTGCGTATGAATGACTTCTCACTTCTCGGATAACTCTCAACAGAGAATCGAAGAAAGAATCAATGTTGGGAACCATTAAGCCGCCCTGAATGCGAGTCAAGTCACGAACAGTTACATGACGTAGTTTCCTCAAACTTTATATTTATATCGTAAAAGTAGCATGTTTACATCGGACCATGTGCAAGTACGCAACAAAGGGTTGGACATATGGAGATATATCTTAATATTCCACACATTCATATATCTAGGGAATTGTATATAAACGTATGTTGCAATTTGGACCCAAATACTTAATTTGAACATAGATACGGCTTCTCAATATAAAATAAAGATATCACTTTTCAAAATTTTGACCCTATATGACCAGCATACTCCCCTTCACTTTCCACGAGATAACTTACCATTAGTCCGTGGGTGTATATTGGTGGCAGAGCGTGAGTAGTAAGACCAAACAAAGTAGACTGGCACACGGCATCTGCCAAGCCAAGAATACCTGCTAGAAACAGAACGGACCAGTAATGGCTCTTAAGACATGTTGACCCACATAACTCCAGCTGATCAAGAAAAATGAAGCCCAACATGCATATGACTACGACTGAAAATCCACTGACAATCCTCCATTTGAAACTAGCTGCGCGACCCCACACCAAGTTAACGAAACAACCACAGAACAGCAGCGGATTGTAGATCGCGTTCATTGCAAATTCTGGTTGCTTGTGAGGAAAAATGTCATCGAAGTAATCAACAGCGGCGAAAATCACAAATATAGGAAGAACCGAGCCGATTCCAAACAAAATAAACTGTAAATACATGCCAACGTTTTTCCTCGTCAACATATCCACCAAGGGCTTAACTTTGTTCCGACAATGGAGTTCAGAATCGTCGCCTATAAACTGTTCACACTCGGCTTCTTGGTCCGCCATCGTTGGATTCTACGAGAGATTTTCTCCCTTGCCTTAAAAGATTTTAAACAAGGACTTTCAACATCCGAAATCTACACAAAATTCTTTAATTTCGACGCATATAAACATAGAGTTCAGTCAAGAATTTTACCACTGAATTCACCGATGTTAGCCGGTGCTCAGACTAGAAGTAACCCTTCGTCCATCTGGTCGTATCATGACCCTGACGGCTTCTAGGGTTTGGAGGCATATTGCATTTCAAGTGTTCTGATTGGTTCACTCAACTTCGGTTCTCAGCTCATGTTACGAGTCACCTTATATGGACATGCATTGCGACCAGTGTTGGCAGCAGAAAATTGTTGCTGAAAATATTCAAACGTTCAGGATTTCAGGAAATTTATTAAGACATTGTTTCCAAATACTCTTGCTGAATATGAGATTGAACATCCAATGCACGCTCATGGTATAATTGTTAACTAAAACAGTAGATAGCATTGAAGGCGTGCTCTGATTGGCAAGTTCTATACTTAAGATATATACTATATCTGAGTATAAATGTGGGGGTAGAGTCTACCTTGGCATAAAGTGCTCAATGTTGTGGTAGCAGAGCTGAGTATATATAAGTGAAAGAATCAGAGAGGATGCATTGATTCTCTGTTACTCAGAGTTTTGCGCCTAAGTGCTCATCAGACAGAACTCTGACTGTCTGACAAACGCTTAGGCGCGAAACTCTGAGTAACAGAGAATCGATGTGTCCTCTTTGATTCTTTCACCTATATCTAAGTATATATATATACACACACACACAAAATAGGCTGCTAAGGTTCATTAACTTGAGGTGTTACTCTAATGTTGGTGTTCCTCTTATACATCCACTCATCCACTCAATAGAGTAACACCTTAAGTTAACAAACCTTAGCAGTCTGTTGCATAAATTTAACTAGCCTTAGTTTGCATAACTTCGCACTAAGGAAGCCCAAACTAGCAAAACATTTACTACCAAAGTATATAATATTTGTGCCTTTTGAAGTCTACCAACTTAGGCATGGTACCACACTTCAATTCATATACATATGTCTGATGATTATGTAAGCATGAAACTCAGAGTCACAGCAAAAAATTAAGTCTTATTGATTAGTTCAACCTTCAGATATACCATGCTCTGCAAACACATTGAGCTCTATACCATATATACATATATGGACAAATGAATGTCTCTATAAGTATATATACAAAGACAATCATTCCCCTTAGTGGTGGTGAAAGTGGTTGATATTGATTGGGCCACTTGGCTGATTGGCACGTGCATTTTTCATGTTACATGAGTACAAAGTTGTGACACAAGTGCAAATTACAAATTGCACACCCTGTCAAAAAGTCAGCTGTCTATTTTCTGTAATACTTTTTTGATGTAAATTATTTGTAAATTAGAACAATTTCTCGTGCAATTTTGTTTAAATAAGCCAAAAAATCTCACTCATGCTTAAAAATTCTACCTATTGTGACATTGTGGAAATACCTCCAGCAGCTGGAGAATCCAGCAAATTACTACCAAACAATGGATTGACAAGAAAGTCATTAATTCACTAGTGCAGATTTATTCCAAGTTGCATGCAAAATCGTGTGATTACCTTGCAAATTTGCACCCCACCCCGTTAATTTACCATTATGAGTGCTGTGTTATTTTGGAACATCCTTTGTGACATCAATATTTTTTAGGAAGGAAAATGCCCTAAGTTTTTGAGACAGCTTGGGTTTATAACAGGTAAGGGACTGTTTGCACAATGCCAAAACTGTCTAGAAGTAACCACAGGTAGTTTCATGTAAAGTAAATCACTTTAATCACAAAAATGTATCTTAAGGACCGATTTTGCTACAGTATGCAGCTGTCATTAAAACTTTTAGTTCCACAAAAACTATTGAATTCATTGACAATACACATTTTATTGATGTTAAGTGAGGTACTCATATTTGACATGTATATCAGTCCTCCAATCAACTAAGTAAATGTATGAATAAGCTATTCTTTACAACTCAGTAACAGGTTATCAGTGTTTGCTCTGTATCTATTCTCAATATTTCTCAGAAAAAAAGACATTTAACACTAATACTACATTTAATAAAAGATCATGAGGGCAACATGAAGTTCATAAACTCCTGATGAAATCACCATTGCTCTGATACAAGAACTGAACACACGACTCTTAACTAAGACACACCTATACATAAAAAATCCTGACCTAGATATAATTCATTAGCATTAAATACCATATTTTTGTAATAGGATTTTGCAATTTGTCTGCATCATATCTTCCTGGTTGTTAGGCATACTGCAGGGTAGTTTTTTTCCTGATCAGATCCCATTCTGGATCCTGGCACACTGGAGACAATGTGCCAGCTATGCTGTGATCAGATCAGGTGTAATAAAAGTGGATGGTCACTCAGGTTTTGCAGTTCCATGAGCTGAGTCAAGCACTTGAGCTAATAGAGAGTTCAGTCTGCTCACCATGCTCCTTGGGTCATCAAGTAGTCCTGCAGATATCATTGCATTGTCCAACAGCTGCAAGAAAACATTCAACTGATTACAATACCATAAATAGTAGTGTTACTTTCATCATGCATATGGAGCAAGACTATGTCCTTGCCAGTCACTTCACTTTCCAAATTTTCTGTATCAGTTTTTTGAGTCATCAACAACATCTTTAGACTAGCCTGCAAGCAGGCCCTCAGTATTAGTGCTTTGGCATGAGCAACAAGCAATGCAAGCTGACGAGAAGTCTGTAAGGGGTCTAGCACTCATTATTAGTGCCAGATGCCTGGCAAAACTCTAATAATGAGGGCCTGTTTGCAGGCTAATTTTTTTACCAACAACAAAAATAAACACCACAATAACAGGATAGAGCTCCACCCACCTGATGAACAACCATAACAGCTAGATCTAAATTCACTGACCGAACTTCTTGCAGTTGTTTGATTAATTCATGGCTGCAGGACAAAATATTTTAGAGAATCACAGCAATGGGTGACACTAGATAAGTTGAGCAATATAACACAATAAAATCATGTTCATACAAAACATCAGTATCTTTACTTTGTTCCTCTGTTTTTAAATTATAATGGATAGGAAGCCTCACAAGTGCTAGAGACCTTTTAAAACAGTTCTTCCGGTATCCAGTCAACTTGCCGATGGACCAACTCGCCGATGCCAACTCGCCGACGTATAAAATCGAGTAGAGAATCACAGCAATGGGAGAATCACAGCAATGAATAACGATTTGACATATATGATGTGAAGACAACTTTAATCAAGTGTAGGAAGTCACATATATGGGCACACATACTGGTAAAGGTATCAACTTTGGCTTAGTTACACACCTAGGATTTATCTCCAATGTGGGTTGAAAAAAGTGGTACTTGGTATTGTCAATATCCTGGTGTTGCTGTGCTCTCATAACTTTGAGCCAATGTTTAGCTGCCACCATGTCAGGCACAGTGACCATCACAGGATGACTGGTCTTACTAAGATGTTTGGATACCTGTCCGTGCATTAAACACACCTGATTAACACCTTGAATGAAAGTGATAACTTCTTATCAACAATATAATCAAGGATGAAAGAAAATGGAACTGCATTGTGTTCTCCCATCCATTTACATTATGCTGACACACCCTCATGAAGAAAAGGGTTGGTGAAATTTTGAAACTCACAGTTATTTTTTGGCTCAAGCAACAAAAAGCACAAAATACCTAGCTTTTCATGAAGAGGCAGAATGATTTAAAATGCACAAATGTGTAATTTTAGTTTAGACGTGTGTTAAATTATTAATATTAATAACTTATTTAGTGAATCAGTTGTTGAATTCTTACTTCAGCTTCTACATAAGACTGATATAGCGTGAAAGTGCTTGAGTTATGAATCTAATATGTTGTATAATTTAACCCCTTGCCCTATGTGGCAGTGCTTACGCAAATTTACCCTCCATCATCAGGTAAGTAAGTACTTGTTCTTGACAAAAACATCCTTACCCCTCCACAGAAGCATGTTATAATGCTCATTTAATCCAGTACTGATAATTTCAAATTTTGCACTGAGATGTTTGGCTTAGAGTTGATACTTTAAACTCTTTTTCTCTTAACAAAAGAGCATAATCCCCTAAAATAAACAAAAAGACCATAAAAGATGCCTTCTTAAGCCCTATTATTAGACCAGAATCAAACCCAAGGTTTGGTATGGTTGGTGACAGCAAGTGACCTTTTGACAATTTAAGTAAAGTGCTCTAAACTTCTTCTAGCTGGTATTAAGCAATTCAATCTTATTATTGCATACCATTATAAAAAAAAGCTTATGCAGGGGACCTCTTCACTTTTCACAATCTCTTAAGAATGTTGTCATTTTGGTTGATTTAAGGGCTGCTTTACTAAAGCACCTTCTATAATTTCAAAACAATGACTTAGGCCACATTAAAAAATTCAAACCTTAACTACAGGGACTTTTTCCTTTCCCAAGATTATACTGATCCAGTCTGCCAAGTCTTTAGCTTGCTCATCTGATAGAGAATCTGGAGAAAAGATTATATCCATGTAACTAGTCAGACAATAACCATTGGCTAATTTTAAAACAGAGCTCTCCCAACTGACTGTCGGAAGCGTATGCCTCTCTTATGATTAAAGGGGAATAACAAATATTCTTAGTAACCCAAGTTATATCTGAACATCAAAACTTCCATTCAATTTGAAAATCCATGCATCAAATTTATAATCACCACACACTTGTTGAATATAACCACACACAATGTCAGTTTGAAAATCTCTACAATCACATTCATTTAGCAATATGTTATTATGGTAACAGTTAACTATTTAATTCAGTCTTCCCATAACAGTGCAACTTTTAAAGACTAAGCTTAGTAAATTGTATTTTTGATACCATTTACATTGAAGCAGTGAACCTTGAAGGTAAAGTTGTTGGCAAAGCTGATAAGTGTGTTTGGTGAAGTCACTTCTCAATTTGACACTTGGCTAGGGGAGAACATACTAAAACACAGATGATAAACAATTTTGTGACAATTTTGAATTTTTTAATCCAGTTCTGTCACAAAATCCACTGTCCTGTGTCTACTGTCTATCTTCTGTGTCTTAGCACATGTGGGATGTAGGTCTGAATTGACTTATACATGCGTAAAACTATTGTCTATAGGTGTGATATCCATTCTACTTTATGATATGAAAGAAGCATTTGAAAATTAGCTGAGAGCTTTATGATACCAGAATTGAGCCAGTCACACTAAGTCGGTTGAAATACAAACCAGATGTGTTGTCTGCATCAATTGTGTCAGTTGATATTGACGATTGTACTTCTCTATCAACTGAAAAGTAATTCTCTGCAGCTATGATTTTCTTCCCATGAAATTCACTAAGGTAATGCAAAGTTACATCATCTTGTTCATTATAGGTAAACAATACCTAACAGGAAAACATAATAACAGTCATTGTGTTGTGTTAGCTCACCAAATACTCAAGCCACACCACAAAAATGGATATATGTTAACAAATATTTTGTTAATTATAAGATACAACACCACCTCATACAAAAAACCAACAACAGCAACAACTCAAATTTTTAAAATTTATAATTACATGAGAACAGAGAAGCCACAAAAAAGAAAAATGCAAAGACACTTGCTAGTCACTCATAAAAAGGTGGGAACTTCAAGAGTATTGTTGTATAGAAATATACATAATGGCTTTGCTGCAGAGATACCACATCAGTAAAATTCTACCATGTGCAAGACCTACAGTATTGCCATGAAAACATTGCAAGACAAGGTCACACCTCCTCAGGCATAGTAAAAGGTTGTTGCATTATGTAGAAAAAAAGTGGGATACATTGGGAAAAAACATACCTAGTAAAAGTGTATGTGCATGTTAAGATGAGTAGCACAATCACCATACCCACTTCTGTAACATGTATGGAAAATGTGAAAATTGCTAGTTTGGGACAAAATCACTTCTTTAGGTCTGTTTTAAATTCACATTTACTATTACAACTGATTTATTTCAAACTACTTTATTTTTGTCACATTTGATTCAAATTTGTATTTACCCATAATCCCTTGTGGGTGTGGTCTTTTTCACAAATAATTAATTTCAAGTTCACTGACATAGTAAAAAGTAGAAATAATAACATTTTTTATTATATACTCAACAAAATATCGCGTTTCTGATTGGTCAATGATGAATGCATAAATAGGTTATAGAGTGCAATAGAGGTTATAGAGTGCAATACGGAGAAGTTGCCATGGAAACACCGGGGAAGCGCCAAATTTGAAAACCAAATTTAAAAAAAATCGAGAATATAATAAATAAAAAATCGTATGAAACTGCTCGTGCATTTCGTGATTTATGGACACTCGTGATGTTTTGAAAGTTCTCAAATTGCACTCGCCTACGGCTCGTGCAATTTTGAGAACTTTCAAAACATCACTCGTGCCCATAAATCACGAAATGCACTCGCGTTCATACGATTTCCTATACGTATTACATGGAGGCTAGTATCTCCCTAGTAAGATCAACTGGCACTCTAAAAACTGACTTTCTGCCTCTTTTTACAACTTGAAGATCACATCACCATTTTTCTCTTGGAAATTCAGCTCTCTTTTTGCGATTCTTTTCATTATATTTTAGATTCCTTAGCCTATTCTTTTCCTGCTTTTTCCTCCTCCACTCTTTGATCCTCGCAAGCTTTTCTTCCTTTTCGTTAACCATACCTCTTGTCAAGCGCACTTGCAGCGATATTTACAGATGGCTAAATCTCAGAAAAATTATTGAGCTTGAAGACCCCCGACCCTTGATAACGTCGCAGAAACCAAAATAGGAAAGGTTATCAAGCTATTTTCGACACGGAGATGAAAAGATGAAGGCGAAAGTGGCGGAGCAAACAGCAGATTTCATAGCGCTTTTGGTGGCATTTGTGGCGAGACTCCGTTCTCAATATGGCGTCAACATGGTAAAAAGCGTAGCGACTCGGTCAAAAGTGAATATTTTGGCCGTTTCTAAAGATATGGACCCGAAAACTTGGAAATGACAAGAAAAACTTATGAGCATTGAAGTGTAATCGATTTCGAAACCCGACTTTGCCGTGTTTGAAGTATAGTAGCGAAGGAGCAGGTAAGTTGATGAAAAATATTATTGCGTAATCAGGTTTTACAAAACCGTAGCGACTGTTTTACACTGATATTTCTCCGTTTATAGTCAATCCTTTAGACTGATTTTTCGCTATTTTAGAACACCAAGTATGAGCATTTGGTTAATGTGTTTTTGTTCCCACAGGATTCCAGTTCAGTCATTCTGCGGACAACAACTTGGTGTACTTCCAAATTCTGAAACCCAGCGTTACACAAAGGATGCTTAAGAATGATGAATCTTTTCTATGCGTTTTAATAAACTTGAAATGTCAAAGTTTTGCTCAAATAGAGTTTTTATTGCGTGTTATCATTAGGTGTAATTTGTTTGCTCAAACGAGCTGTCTTTTCAGTGAAAAATGTATTTAAAAAATTTTACCACTGAGATTGTGTTACGCGTTACAACCAAAATTGGCTCGATCTTTCATCTTTCACGGGTATTTTCTCAAAGACAGCAATGTGGTTTTCTGATTTTTTGCTTTTACTATAATCAATAAGAACAACTTTACCTGTAAGCAAAGATTTGGCTTCAATGAAAATGTAAAACAGAAGAAATCATTGAAAGTTTGCAGTCAACCCCCTATGGGCATGGTGATTGTGCTACTCATCTAACGCATCATAAAACCCACCTCAACGTCATCCTTTTTAAGTGCTTCATAGTATGGGGATGTCTCTGCAAGCTCACGACTGAAAATTAGGAAAACAATGATGACAACTACTATGATATGAAACAATTGAATACTTCATCCTTATTACTAAAGTTACATGCAAACTCTTTTAACGGAATGTTAAATGAATTTGACATATTCCAAAAATCACTGAGGTGCAGTCTCACAAACAAAGACTATGCTATCTATATCATGGCCTGGAAATCCAGTAAAGAAATGATGCCGTAAAGTTTGGATCAGGTTTGTTATAATGTTTACAATCAGTCATGGTAAGTTTCCAAACTGTTTGTGTCCTGTATGATCATGAACTGGTTTCATTCATTAGCAACAGAATCAAAAAATGAATGCTTGAAAACAAAAAAATGCCTATTAACAACTAATAATACAAATAGTGATATGATGTGACTCTACATGAAAAGCTCTCTGCATGACATTCTTTATCGCACTTTGCTATGGTGTCCAATTAAATTAACAATTAAGTGGTTACAAAATCAAAGTAAGGTAATTGAAGTAAAATTTTGTAAACCCCATACTACTAATGACCATGCCAAAAGTAACAATGAGATTACTGTAGCAGAGAACCATAATTACGAAATAAGTTAATCAATAAACTTGTAAAATTATTTCTATAAGACTATGAACAAAAATATACCAGATGAAAGTGTTGATTGAGCTTGGCTTAGCATTAAATTTACAACAGGCACCATTAAGACCACTTTACCATTCCAAAGGGACTCAATACAGGCATCAAAATGAATGCAGTTTTATTACAGTCAATTTTTGTTTTGTTTTCAATATACAAAGAGGTAAAAAATGTTGCAGTGTTTAGATGGAATTGGATCACCTTACCTTGGGGCACACAAGTAGTATATATATTGCTGGGTTTGTTTCATGCGTGATACATATAGAGAAAGTGAGGTTAACTCCCCAGCCTTTTCCTGTGATGATTCAAATAACAAAAGCTTGGCTATGTCTTGTTTTTCATCTTCATTGTTACTGCTCACTATTCCCTCACGAAAGAAAGTACCACAATCCTTGAAAAAGTTTTCAAACTTCACTCTGTCCTTCTTTTGTTGCTGCTGAAGAAACTTGACAATACGAGATTGTAAAACTTGGCTGAGTTTTGTAATAAGAGCACTATCTTGGAGAAGTTCTCTACTGAGGTTAAGTGGTATATCTTCACTATCAACCACTCCCTTTACAAACCTCAACCAGTTTGGCAAAACCCCCTGTGCCTTGGATTGAATAAGAACCTTTCGACTGTACAGAGATACACCATATTCTGTATTAGCCATTGTGAACAGCTGTGGTACAGTTTCCGGAATGTAAAATATACTACGAATATTCAAAGGAGCATCTGTCTTGTAGTGGAGCGTGTATCTTGGCCTATCGTGAGTCTTGGCAATAAACTGATAAAACTCCTGTAAACAGAAATTTTGTGCTTTACACAAACTACTTAACAATATAAAACTATTCACCACTTGCAATGACTATGTGCAACATCCTTTGCAGAAAGTAATGTAGGAAAAAGGGGTTGTAAGCAAAAAATGTAAAAATCATGATAAAAAGTTGAAACTTTTGCAAATTTTTGTAGATCTACAATACTCTGATCACAAATCATGAATGGGTGAGATCAAATTGATGTTGTTCTTGATTTATGTACTTATCCTGGGAAGTAAACTGCATATCACGTGATCTGGCTGTAAGAGAGACATATACTACATTCTTTTCACTAAATGAAGATACAGTGAGTTTTCTAATTTTGCTGACTGCGACAGCTACATAACTAAATTTAATTTAGAAATTGCAATCAGAATTTGGGAGCCCATTCTATTTGACACATTTAACAATAAATCATCAAGTGAATGTAAAATGTCATTTCTTTTACAAACCTCATGTTCTTGAGAGCTTATAGCATTTGGATCCAACATCCACAAAGGCTGAAGAAGAGAAAACAGAAAAATTATAGCAAATCAACTCAATATACTTTTTTACTACCTCAAGGATGGGATACATAGATGACAGCACTCTTAGGAAGTGATTCAAATGCCATCATGTATGAATAGCCTTTTACTGAAATATGGGTTCATGCTCACACAACCCACCATAAATGGAAGTAAATTTTATTAATAAGAAAAAGTGATTACAATTACAACTAAGCGTGCCAGAGACTTGGTGATACCTTTATATTTAATCAAAAGCTTCTTGGAACCACCTCACTGTATCTTAATTACTCAATTATCTGGTGAGAACATCACCTTCCAATAAATTAAAGCTTTAGCTGTGGCACTAAAAGTGAACCATGGGCCTAATAACAACTGACAGAAAATGAGGTTTCAAGATACATGTACACCTACATGTACCTAACAATACATGTACACAAGCACATAAAATTTAAGCACACTCATTGACTGAGAACAAGTCAATCCAAAACAGTGCAGAAAGTTAAATTTGAGTGCAGGAAGTTAAAAATTAAATTGATTGAATTGATTACTAAGTTGCAAAAGCACAACAAAAAAATGGCAGACAGGTGAGTAGGAAGTAGTGACTTTTAATTCAGAGTTCATGGGAGAAAACACCTAACAAAGGAAAAACTGGCAAGAAGTCTGCCTTCTACAGACAGACATGAGGGTATGAGCTGGAGGCCCTGACTTTTCCTGACATGGAAGTTTATGAGTGTGATAGCTTTTGTGCGATGGTTACCGCTGTTGACCGACACCCAACAGAGAAAGAATACAAACGCTCAATCATTCTTGAGAAAGGTTTTAAAAGTTGGCAGCAAATTCTTAAGGAAAAAGCTGTATTTACTCGTGTATAAGTCGATCTTTTAGGACCAAAAACTCAGCCCAAGAAAAACCCTCGACTTAAACACGAGTCATACACAAAGACCTGACCCAAGCAGCCCAAGAAATTAGCATAACAATTGCCTGAAGTCCGCAAGGAAAATTGAGATTATAGAACCAGTACGAATTGTGTTCGAGTTTCGTCACTTTTCAGCGCATTTTTCGTCCACAAAAAGAGTTTGAAATAATATATTTTGAGTGGCTTAACACAAAGCTACTAGAACTGATTTATACTGCGTCTTTGGGTTGTAGAACAGACATTTTTTCTCACAGTTTCGCAGTTGTTTGCAGTACTGAACTTTTGATTTCTTCGAATGATTCCAGTAGCTTATTAACCTGGCAAATGTCGTTGTCTCGCGCGGTCTTGCTTATTGCGCGCGATCCTTCTAAGCTATTCGATGTTCCTTCGGTTTACCTAAATTAATCTCCTTTCAAACTCAATATTAAGATAAAGGTTTGTTAAAATGCAAGAAGATTTCATTTTCAATGTGGTTTACAAAATATGGTAAAATACTTCTCCGATAAATCAAAGTGTTCGTGTGTGCTTAAATTGTGGTGATATAAATAATTGCTGATAAACTTCAAAGAACTTGGTTACATTTTGCTCTGCAGTTTTTTAATTCCCCGTGTTTTCAATACATTCCCAGAAATGAGAGATTAACTTTTGGGAAATTTCTATCTGTCTGAATTTTACTTCTTTGACTAGAAATGATGAAAAACCCGATTTTTAAACTTAAAAATGGGGGTCGACTTATACACGAGTTCGACTTGTACACGAGTAAATACCGTACTCCAGCAACAAGGCAAAGGTAAGCAGTGTAACTGGTGAGCCATGGCATGAAATAGAGACAACTAAAAGGAAAACAGCTCTAGTCATATTTTCCTGGTATATTAATCACTAGGAGTTGCATGATTTCGAGTGCAATTTGGGATAAATCAGCATCCCTCACAAGCTCGTGCAATATGGTTAGTCTTTGGGAAATCTACTCATGCTGATTTATCTCAAATTGCATTCTAAATAATGTGATTACCTCTACATATTACATCCCTTACTATCATAAACGAAAAAATAGAGTTACTAAAACAAAATGAAAGAAAAAACCAAATAATTTCAACATACCTGAATTGTATTGATGCATGTGCCATCCAAATATATAGGGAAACCCACAAAGTTGCTATACTTTTTTATAATATCTGTGAGAGGAAATGATAAGCATTGATATATACAATGTCCTGTGCATGAATTTTGTGCATGGTCATAGATTTCAAATTTGGCATACCATTTGAATGACAACAAAAAACACCTCCATGTAAGTCTTGAATAGTGTATTATTTTAAACCTATTTTTAACATCATTAGCGCCTCATGCTTTTTTCAAGAATGTCATTAAAAACAAGATTGCTCATTGTGAAGAGTTTAGCACACCAACCTTCAACTGTTGTTTTGATTGAAAACTTTTTAAAATCATCCTTAAGATGCATGACCACTTTTGTGCCTCGAGTTACATTCCCTGCTTCAGCAATCTCAAATGAACCAGACCTGAAAATTCAAATAACGAATTGTTACATATGTTTTCACATAAACTGGACTAATGAATAAGTTGCCAGTAACTGGATCCTAGAGTTTGTGCAAAGATTTTTGGGATTGCCACAGGGGAAAACATTGCAAGTTGTTAGATGGAAGTATGGAGTGAAAGTTGCCTGAACGTCATCCTGCCCAAAGTCATGTTGCCCCCAAAAAAGGCAAGTTGCCCAAGCAAACAAATACTTAAAAGATCAGATAAGCAAAAATCTTTCATTAGCTATTAAGAAGATTATGCATTGGATAAAATTTCAACAAGAAGACCACTAAAAGCTTTCTCTCACTTGACACATGGACCAATCCGTACCAATTATTTGGTTAAGTTTATTTTTTAGTTAGGAGTTAGTTCACTGAAGGATCACATTAGGATTTATCTCACTAGTTTTGCAATAAGTTTGTTAGGGGTAGTTGTCGCTAGTTAAACACTTTTCTACTATGCTATCATAGGTTGAATTACAGAAATACTGTTTATGTTGGTTACATCTGTCTCCCTTAAAATGTTTTTCAATTAGAGTTCTTGGGGACCTTGAACATTTGTGTTTAAAGAGAAATTTAAAGGTTTGATTGAAGGATTAATAACAAAAGTAAATACACCAAAAAGGTTTTTAAATTGATTGGTACCTTCAGCACTTTCTAAAAAGTACCACTTTGGGTGTTTACAAGTGTTAAAATAAAATTTGGGTAACTTGACTAAAATTTTGGATGACACGACATCAGGTGAAATGACTTCCGGGCGACTTGACCATAAACCATATCATAATAATATTTAATGCTCAAGCACACCATGTATTATCAAGCCAAGAATAAAGATAGAAGTAGACTTCTGTAAATAAAACTGACAGATGTAAACAAAACTGAAAAGGCTTTACTGAGTTATTTCTTGGCCATTTATACATGTAGCTAATATTTCTACGCTGTAGATCATTACAAAATGTCAATTTCACCATAACCCTTGCTAGATATAGCTAGATTTTATTAAATTTTTCAAGGTTGTGGAAAAAAAAAACCTCGTGCTTCCCTCCCATCAACATTACCCAAATCCATTTCTGATAAAACAGATATCTCACCAAATTTGTTTTCTTGGACATCAAAACTACCTTTCACTATCCTTCTTTTAAGCAAGTTGAAATGTTTGTCCCATGGCAATCCCAGAAATCTTTGCAGAAACACAAGGATCTGATTACTGGCAACTCATTCATTATAAGCTTGGTGTGTTTTATCCTATTTACATGAATATATACAAGGTTTCATGCCACATCCATTCTTAATCTCTTTACAAGAGACTCTTTAACATTTTCCATACATGAAACAATTGGGAATGACTTAAATTTCACAATGACTTTGTTTAATTCCCAAAGAAAGAAATAGTCAAAAGAAAGGTGTGTTTAATTTAAAAAAATCTGTTTAACTTGACAGCATTATTGTGCAATACACAATAATTATACCTTTTGCATCAACAGAATAAACTTAGTGAAGCAGTAGGTAACTACTTCTGAATCACTGTATGTGGTCCAATGGAGACAAACAAAGGGAGAAAAATGATTAATAGGATAAGTGATAAAATGATTAAAAGGGTTGAAGTCCCATGCAATTTTTGACATATCAGTTAAATCTAATGGATGGGAAAATATGACTACAGAAATGGAATTTGATTGAGAGCAAAAATTGGAGTGTCTATCATTAATATTTTGTTACCCATTGGAAGTCCATAAGAATCCTTTACTGTCAGGAGAAAAAGAACGAGTGAACACATCAACTCTGTCAGCCACCATGAATGAAGAATAGAAGCCCACACCAAACTGTCCAATGATGCTTTTTCCCCGTGAATCTCCTTGTCCCAGTTTACCCAGTTCCTCAAGGAAAGCTTTGGATCCAGACCTAGCAATAGTACCCAAATTATCTAACAATTCTTCTTTTGTCATTCCTATGCCATGATCCTGGATTGTCAGAGTTCTTTTATCTTGATCTGTTGCAATGTTTATTTCAAGAGGAAGTTCATTTTCCAATACACCTTTTCCAGTCAAGAACTGGTATTGCAGTTTTTCCAGTGCATCAGATGCATTGGAAATCATTTCACGAATAAAAACCTATGGTGAATAAAAATTGCTATGGATATAGTTTATGATCAATTAAGAAAACATAGGCAAATGATGCTCAGGTAAGGTGTGAGCCTTTTTTTAAGGAGGGTAAAGGTGTTTGTGTAATGGTCACTGTTACATCTTTGTCCTGTGTCAATGACAGAAGGCAGAGCAAGACGTGAAAGCACTCCGCCAGGTTAAGAAATACAGTAAATGGTTTGAACCAGGGGGTAGCATGTAATAGTGTAGTTTGATGTCATGTATGAGTCGTTTGTACAATGAAGACTTCATCCAACATAACACTCATAGACCTACTACTACTACCGAAGCTAACGACAACACAACTATGACTACAGCCACTATACCATACATAAAGGGCATATCTGAGAACATCTCACGCATCCTACAACCATTCAATATACGCGTCACTCACAAACCTATTACCACACTACATCAGTTACTGACTAACATCAAAGACAGAGACAAACCGAGGAACAGACAAGGAGCAGTATATAAGATCAATTGCTCCGGCTGCCACGCCTCCTGCATCAGTGAGACTGGCAGAAACTTCACAACTAGACTGACTGAACACAAACGAGTGATGAGGAAAGGCAATGTCAACAATCACATTGCTGAACATCACCGACTTACGAACCACACTATTGACTGGGACTCTGTGCAATGCCTAACCTACAGCACCAACTACCTTCAACGACTGACCCTGGAAAGCTGGTTTACTAACTTGGAACAGACTCTCCTCAACAGGTGTCAACCACTACCAGCACCATACAAACAACTCATCCACAACATTAACATTACAAACGAACCGAGCAGAATGACCTAACTTCACTAATGGATCCAAACCGACCAATCACGACTGACCTACGCCACTTGAGTCTTAAAGCCAATAACATCACAGCAAAACTGACCAATCAGTGTACACAAACCAGACTAAATACATTCGACTGACAACAACCTTTCACTTGACTCTGATGATGACTTCTGCTCAGGTTGTCGAAACGTCAGTCACCACTACCGACAACAGTCCTTCTAAGGACTACACTCACCCGGACAATCAAACTACACTATTACAGGTTAAGAAAGTAAGTTACTTATAATTTATAACCAAACATCATTGCTAGAATTTTAATCCTTGAGTAAACAGTATCCAAATGTGCCTAGGGTAAATTTATCTTTTCCTCTATTAAGATTATCAAATTGCAGAGAGCAAACAAAATATACATCATTTTGTAAATCTTGTGTCAGGAAGGTTTCAGTGTATTAGTTTAAGTACCATACATGTACATTTGTACATTTGTACAACTATCTCTTCCATAATTTTAATTATGAAGTGCATGATTTGTAAAAGTTGTTAAAAATAAATTTGTAACAGTTGGTAATTTTCATGTAAAAGAGTGTTGTTTCTCTACACACACCTCTTTCTCTGAATAGAGTGTCTTGGCTACAATATCCAATAACTGTCTGGTTTCTGCTTGAAAGTCATGCCTTTGGGTTTCACCTAGGCATGAAAACATACAATTTTTTTTTCATTAAATTAGTAGTTCCATATGCTAAAAACTTTCCACAAAACTGTATATGTGCCTGCTCTGAGCAGAACCGGTTTTTGTTTTGATTCTGTTTGATCAAGCAATTAACGACTAAACATTTTAGTCTCTGCTACAAAACTTATGAAAGAAAAACTGGCTTACAAGCAATAAAACCCAACTGTCATTCTTAAACTAATAAGTTTATTTAGTTATTTACTTAATCAATATTTAAACATGGACATCACATTTAGCATAGCTAGTTTAAAGAGAGCCCTGCAAAAACAAAATTTGACAATACAAAGTTACGCATAAAATTGCCAGACAAAAGTAAAACTCATTAGAGAAAATACATACAAAGTCTACATAACTAATTAAATCTGTTTAAAAAACCGCTTACACTCAGTTTTAAAAGTTTTAAGGCTTTCCAGCAATCTTATTGCTTTGGGCAGATTATTAAAAGTGCACCCACCATTACATCTAAAACTGCCTTGATATTTAGTGCTTTTGGCCAAAGGAAGACGAATCAAATCCCAGTGCCTGGTATTATATTTCTTAGCTTGAGTAAAATCACTCAATAGGTAGGAAGGTGCTAAGCCGTTCATAGATTTGACCAGCATGCATTTAAGATAGTCTCTATGAGACTGAAGGCTAGGCCAACCAAGAATACAAACAATATCTGTTTCACTCACAGCCCTATTTAAGATAATACTAGCCGTACGCCCATTAAGCTTATCAAGATACCCTTTAGATATAGCCCCACAACTATCCCATACAACTGAGCAATAGTCAAAAAGGGGGAGTATCATTGTGTTGTACAAAATGATACAAGATGATTGAGGCAAGATCTTTCGTGCTCTACCCAACATTCCTAATCTAGACGAAAGTAAAGAAGCGTATCATCAACATGTTGCTCAACATTAGAATATCTAACAACATGGGATATGTCATTAATATACATTATAAGGAGAAGGGGCCCTAAAGCCCCAAAGTCCTGGAGGACTCCAAAATCAACGTTTTGAGGATCTGAAACTATCCCATTAACACAAACACTTTGAGAACAATTGGTTAAGTACGAGAAAAACCATTGTCTGGCAGAGGTAGAAAAACCAAAGGACTGCACTAATTTATCTAAAAGAAGGTAGTGGTTGAGTGTCAAAAGCCTTGCTAAGATCTAAAAATACTAGTCCAGTCAACAATCCTTTTTCGATATTCTGTAAAAGGGTGTTAGTTACATGGGTCAAGCAGGTTGAAGTGCTGTGGAGAGGGCAAAAGCCAGACTGTGAAGGAGACAGCAAGTTGTTGAGCTGTAGATGGTCATAAACCATTTTGTGTATCCCTCTTTCAAGGATCTTGGAGAATACAGGCAGAACAGATATGGGTCTATAGTTAGACAGATCACTTTTACTTCCAGCCTTATGTATGGGTGTTACAAGGGTGTGTTTCCATTCATCTGATACATAGCCTTCACGTAAAGAGCTGTTCATAAGCAAGGTAAGGGGCTCAGATATTGCATCTGAACCATCCTTTTGAAGTCGTGCTGGTAATCTTGGGATGCCTGTTGATTTTTTCACTTTTAGAGACTTTATTTGCTTTTTAACAAACTCTGGTTCCTTCTGAGAGAGCTTGAACGATGGTGGCAAACTTGTTTGAACTGGGATGTTTTGGGATATTTTAAAGTGATTTCATATCTTCAGCCATTTATGGATGGAACAGGTTTCCAAAAAGTTTCTCAAATATCACTCTTCATGTTAAATTAATCAGTTCTATAAATAATAGGACATATGTACAATACCCAGCCAATGTACCAATGACAGAATTTAAAACTGAGTCAAATTTAACTTGAGTTGATTTGTAGGTTGAGATCCAGATCAGCCTATTGGTTCATGTGGGTAACTCAAAATAAAAGTAAGAGCATGCTGAATTTTATTAGCAAGGATCAAGAAATACCACATATATCAACAAGGACCACTGAAATGCAACATTTACATGCTTAGTTTTATTTTCTCTAAAACGAGTCAGATAACAAATCAATACTAAACTATGTCTTCTTATATGGAAGCACCCATACATGTATATTCTTCCAGGCTTGTAACTATTTTTGCACGCTGAGAACCATCTAGTACATAACATGAACATTTCTTAGTCTATGACACCACAAGTAATATATATAATGCATCTGTTTTACAAAGAATTTAACCAAACAATTCAGTTATCTCTGTGAATAAATTATTACTCCTAAATTTTTACTATCCATTATTTATGATATAGTTTCAACTTACCAATAATTCTTTCATTTTCCCTTATAACATGTACAGTATCACCTTCTTCAAAATCTTCTTCCTTAGATTAAAAAAGAATGATTTTGTAATGATGATTCATAATTCAGTTCACAATCTATAATACAAAACCTGAATTAAATAATAGTGTTATATAATACCATGAAAAATGCTAAACCATACATTGATATTGCTTTTTAGCACCTTTGAAAAATTATCTTTATCAGTAGGATTTTCTGAAAAAGCTCTGCAGGAAATCTTTGGGTAGAGCCTCACATGGGGACCTCTAAACCCTAGAAAGACAATAAAAATAACAAACACTGAACAATAACAAATTTCCCTTTTCTTAAGGTTCCCTTATGCGAAAAACACTGGGTACATGGAATTATCCTTACAACAGACACTAAATGGCTGCCTGTGTAGATATAGTGTATAAAATTATTCTTCATCATGAAGAGGGCTAAGACAACATGAATGACTTCATATTTACTTGAAGTTTCACTTCCTCTGACTTCTTTTAAAGATATTGTCCGACTCAAAGTAGAATTCTCAGACTTTTCCCTAATTTTGAAGAATTTTATTTTTCCCTGACTTTTTCCTGACCTGTGGTAATCATGGTGATGCTTCTGTCAACAAAGGCAAGTAATTGAAAGTGGCATAACTGTGTTCAAGTTAAAAAATACATACAGCGTTCTACTGTAGTCAAATAGAAGGTCTTTTGAGCAAATTTGTTCAGTTTTTCATTTCTTTAGTATCCAAGACATAAAAATATTAGCATGAGATCATATTGGAACAATTATATGTGTACTTACATGGCTACTTCCCTAAACAAAAAAAAAAGTAGTGGGACCAGAAGAAAAACAAGCACTTTTGACACACCATTGCAGGAAATAACTATTGGCATACAAATGCAAAAACCTTTTCCTTTTGAAATATTAAGGGTTCTTAAGTAACATCTAAATTATTAGACGTAGGGAAGTATAACATTGGTTTATCCACCAAATACCTGTCTGATAAAATAAGTCTCTTTGGATTGTTAGCTCTTACCTCCAGAGAAATACAGTTATCTATATTATTTTGTATGTTGCAGTTCAAACTTTTCCTTGGCCTACAGGTTTTCAAACAGGTTTTCTTTGATCTTTATTCTCTACATATTTTTCATTATTACCAGATTAGAATAGTTTGAAATTTGCACATAAAAAATATGAAATAAAAGATCAAAGAGTTTAGAGTGATTGACCATATCATAAAAAATCACTAGCCTAAAACCATTAATTAAAAAGCAGAGTTCTTGAGCAACCTTCATCTAAACAAATTTGTTTGACCAGCAGAATTTGCAGAACATCCTAAGGCTCTAGAGGCCTGAGCAATTCATTTCATTGAAAAAATTATTGTGTAAATCACGATTTTCAAGGTCACTGACTCTTGCATTCCTTTTTTGGTTTGGAATTTATTATATTACCCCCTTTCATTCTCACATCTCATAAGTAAATCTCCCATCTGTTTGCCATACAATTTTAATGTTAGTCAAGAGGAATTGTTCTTGAATCAATCATCAATCCCCTATTGACATGTTTCTTTTCTTTCATTACTTATCTGCTTAATGTTGGACTGACATTGTTAGGAAAATTCTGTCTTGGTCACTCAAAGGAGTTAAAAGGTAAGAAATACTTGAAATGAGTAAAAACGCCAACATTTCTACTTTTTTATGGTCACTCTTCTTAGAGAATTTTTACTAGTTTCCCTCTGATTTAATGATGGCTAAATTGTTATTCTGGAAAAAAAAATTTTGATGATTGCTCTAAATTCAATATCCTGCATCTGAAGTGATACCCATGCCACAATCTCGAAATTGCATGTTTAAAACTTTGTAGTACCTTTGCTATTCTCTTATTCACTAAATGAGGCTCGAATTATACTGTAAGCTTACTCATCTCATCATCAATTTGTCGATTAGTAAACCGATGACGGAAAGGGGGAAGGAAAAACCCCAAACACGTGCAAATGAGTACTCATCCACCTTACCTACACAATTTTGTGATTGAACGAGCTGCAATCTGTGCTTCGGACGTTTGTTGGCAATCAGATTGCTATTTCGCGGACATGTTTTGTGGAAATATCTAAAATTGAGCAAATAGAGCGGTAAATAACGAGCAGAAATGCGATTCACGTTATTTACGAAGCTAGAGGCAGCCGCCATTTCTGCTTTGGATCAAGTTGTGGACAGTTCGTTTAGATCTACACGAAGTATCAAGTGAGAGAGGGAGAGGAGGAGGAGGGAGAGTGGGGGAGGGAGAGACCTAGTGTCATACCACTGGTAGGTCGTACACAATCATCATCAGAAGGTGATCACAAGATTTTTTTCAATCTCTTCCCCTTCTGTTTTAAGTTGTCCAAAAAATCATGATGTCTTTTGAAAAATTGAGTATTCGCTCAGTGGATTTCAAGGGAAAGCGTGTTTTGATTAGGTAAGCTATCTGAGTAGTGCCATGTTGCCAGTACCCACTATATTGTATGTTCCTGAGTTCAGTGCAAGAGTGTAATATTGCTGTCCCCGGTTAAAATACTCACAAACTCTTTTATTTTACAGAGTGGACTTCAATGTGCCCTTAAAAGACAAGGATATCACGAACAACCAACGGTATGAGAGATCGTGCACTGACTCATGAACTGAATGCAAAGTGTAATTTACGAGCACCCCCCCAGAGATTCCAACCCTCCCGATTTGATCAAGTCTCCCATTTGATGTCTTGCCTCCCGCTCTCCCGATTTTTACCAAATTCTCCCGATTTATCATAAAATTCTGAAAACTAGGGGAAAATTGCTAATCTTTAGAATTTTTGGCGATCTGTCACTGTGAAACACTCATATTATACTTACTTTCTTCGCGAAGAGCATTATGGTATGTTATAACTCAGGCCGGAATGATGTCAAAATTCAGGAAATGGCACTTGAGAGAACCTAAATTTGCAAAATTTCCCGGGGGCATGCCCCCTGACCCCCTTAGAAGCTCGCGCCTTTGGCACTAATAATTACTCCCTATTTTCCATCACATGGGGTTGGAATCTCTGCCCCCCCCCCACCCCATCATTACATATTAAGTATACAGTGCGATCAAAGACGCGTAAGAAACCCTGTTAATCTAACATAATTTTTGGAAATCGAGGAGTTGTGATCATTTTTGTTAGTTAAGTTAACGTGACATCTTCCACCTTTCTAGCTCAATCTCTGGAGAGTCGAGTTAGAGGGCGGTGGAAGGGAAGGGTACCGGTAAAGTTTCCGCACAGGTACCGGTAAAGTTTCCGTACAGCCCCATACTATTGTCAAAACAAATCTGTTCTCCCAATGGAATTATATTGTTTTTTTTATTGTTTTCTCTAGTCGAGAACTGAATGCATAATGTAGTATGGGGCTGTGCGGAAATTTTACCAGGGTACCTTTCATATGAGTCAACGAGATGTTTGTTATTCTTCAAGTATTGTGGCTGCTTTGCCCTCCATCCAACATTGCTTGGAGCATGAAGCTAAGAGTGTAGTATTGATGAGTCACCTGGGACGTCCTGATGGTAAAAGAGAAGGAAAGTATTCCTTAGCCCCTGTTGCTGATGAACTGAAGAAACTGTTGAACAAGTATGTAAACGCTATATTTAGAGCATGCTAATTTATGATTTTTAGTAATCATTAAATGGAATTTTAGTCTGAGTCATGAGTACAGAACAAAAAATTTGGGAATGCAGTGATAAAGGTATCTGTAGGTGATAAACTGAAACAATAGATACTAAAATTAACCAAAACATTACAGCAAAAGGCTGAATTCTGTTTATAGTGACAATAAAATATCTTAATATATATGTAGGCTAATCTCATGATGAAACTCTTCCTGCAACATTCAGTCTTGCAAGGAGGGTGAACAAACTTTTACAAATTCCCAAGCAAATTGTGGCAAATATGTTTCAAGCAAGGAGAAGCTTGTGGAATCTATGCTGTGAATCAGCAGTAACCTTGTCAAACATTCTGAAATTTGTCATCGCTTTTCTCCATTGAAAAAGAGTACATAGAACAGATTGACTAAGGGAGGCTATTGATTATTGACTAAGGATTGAATGTATATGTGTAACATAAAACAGCATTAGCTCACGTGGCTACAGTCTTCACTAACTCCTCTATGTGTACATCCCACTTAAGATCACAACTAAATTGTTGTCGCTAATCACAAACCAAAAAGGATTTGAAGTCTATGATAATATTGTCAGTATCACATGATATTAGTGGTATAATGTGAGTGAATATTATGCATTGTGTTTAAATGTTTTCTTTGGCTTTAGAGTAATTTTTATTTTTCTTTATCTTGTGATCCTTATCAGCCTCTGGCACCAAGGTGATTAAAGATCAAACTGGCTTGAAAATTTTTTTTATCTCAAAATTTAAATATAAAAAAATACACTTTGTTATATGTGTCTGGTATGTGTAATTCTCCTGAAGAAAACAAGGTAATGTAATAATTAACTGAGAAATTTGATACTGATGATAAATATTATTGAGTGATGTATTTTTTTTTAGAGATTTGAGGTTTCTGTCAGACTGTGTGGGACCAGTGGTGGAAAAAGCCTGTGAAAACCCTAGTCCTGGTATTATTTAACTTTCTCTTGACTTTTAGTTATTAGATGATTGTAGTTTTGCAATGTATTATAATCATCTTATATAATAGCATCGTTTTTTGTCTGTTTGTGTATTATTATGATGGTTTAAATGAAGTAAAAAATTTAGGGCTGAATAGCTGGCTGTAGCAAACTAGTGAGGGAGACATGAAATGGAACTAGTGAATTGATTAATTTACTAACATGACTGTATTTATAATTATGTATTTTGGGTGAATAAACACTTTTCCTTATGCTTGAAGGGTGTAGTGTGCATGAAAATGCTCCTTTATTTGATTTACAAATCTTAAGTAACTGTGGGTCATTGTGTGGTGCCTCTTTTTTTCAGTGCTTTCAATAAGAACTGGCACTTGCCAGAGCTCCAGTGGGTATTCTGTTGTTAATTCCTTGGTATGCTTTAGAAGCTTTCAAGCAAACTTATGAAGTGAGACCTAAAACACCTCAAGATTTTCTTGAGTTCTTTCAGTCCACTTTTACCTTCACATACAAATTTTAATAAAATTGGTTTACATTGTCTTATACATTCCAGCACAAATTTCTAGTGAAAAGAAATTTTGATTTTCCATAAACATACTGACTCAAATTTCAGTAACCATGTGTCCTTTCAGACGACTTTTGTGTGAAACTCAAGGAGCAGATTTGCATGTCAGCTAATGGAAGATTTTGATTGGAAATAAAATCATCAGCTAAACAATTGTTACAAAGGAGACAAATACTTAATGATCATCTACAGAAGTTTGACATGAAAAACTTAGTTTGAAGCCAGTTTATTGTGAATGGAGGTATTGGGATGACAAAAGGGAAATTTTTTTTTACATTATTATCTGGCGAGTGCTTTATTGAGGTAGCCACCTTCTTCAAATCTTATATAAAGCACTGTTTTTACAGACCAATTTTATATTTTCCAGTCCTTTACTAATCTTACTTGTGTATATTTAGTTTTTGTGATCAGATCTGGTCCTACCTTTATTAGGTTCAGTGATTTTGTTGGAAAACTTACGTTTTCATGTGGAGGAAGAAGGCAAAGGTGTTGATAGTGAGGGAAAGAAGGTATATCAATGTACTACAATTGAAAAAGATAATGACTGAAAATTGTGTTATCTCTGTATTTACATTATTGATATCAAAACAGATGTTATTGTTCATTGTGATGGTAAGTCATGATAAACTGTTTTCTTGTTTGACTCACAGTTTGTGGTCGCTTAAGATGTAGGTTGCGACATTTTGACTGCTTACTGCTAGTCTTCATCAGGTGATGGGGTGGACTGCTGGCAGGTTACCATTTGTATCACAGCGATCTAATGCCATTGCCAGATTGTGATCCCCATTGTTCCAGTGAGTTCTGGTTTTCCAGCTTCAGGAATTTCAATTCCACTATCCCTGTTGATATTATCAGGGTGAAGTCTTTTGTGGATAGCTTCCTTGACTCTTCTGGTGTAACAATGTAAGTCTCAATCAGTAACTTTACTTCATTCCAAATCAGGTGGTGGCTGGTCTTGTGGGCTTGCTCAGAAACAGGGGTGGTCTGGGTACATGCTAAACATCTATCCGTCTCCTGTTCTTTCAGCAAAATTCAATCCTTTCTTTGAGGTATTTGAAAAACAAGCAGTAGAATCTGCAACACAGAAAACCAAGATCTAGAAGCACTACATTGATGACACCTTCACCATCCTGGATTGCAGTTATGTTGACTGTTTCTTACAGTATCTAAACAGTCAACAATGTACCATCCAAGTCACCTTGAAAACTGAGAAAGACAACAAGATCACCTTTCTCTATATATCAGTTATGAGGAAACCAGACAGATGCCTGACCACCAGTGTCCACAAAAAATTCACTCACACTTTTCAGTACTTAGCATATGATTCACACCATCCTCAATCAGTAAAGCGCAGTATTGTTAAGTGTTTGTTTGACCAGGGGAAGCATCTCATGTCAAAACCATCAATCATCTCTAGGAATCAGTTCTTGTTTCCAATGGTTATCCCTCTTCCTTTGTACAGAAGGTTACGAAGACAAGAAACTCCTCCCCAAGCAGAGAGCCTGTGATGCTGTTCAAGTTTACAGTGGTTTTGCCCTTTGTAAAAGGTGTATCAGAGCCTTTTTGCCCTTGCCTGCAGCAACAAGGCATCTGTGCAGTATTCAAATCTGACATGACACTTAGATCATATTTGGTACAGCCAAAGGACACTGTCAATCTAGCTAGACAGGACAGCATGTTTTACAGAATTCCCTGTGAGTGCAGTAAAATCTATGTTGGTGAAACAGGAAGACCTATGCAAGAGAGGATGAAAAAACATGAGAGGGATATACTTTTAGCCTGTACCCAGACCTCTACCATTTGTGAGCATGCCATCAAGACTGGCCACCATCCACTTTGGAACAAAGTGAAATTTATTGATCGAGACTCACACTGGTATACCACAAGGAAGCTATCCATGCAAGACTTTACATCAATAACAGTAACAAGGACAACGGAATTGAAATTCCTGAAGCATGGATACCAACAATCAAGGAACATGGCAGGAGACTGGTACCACAGCAAACCACCAAGAAAACAACTTGGAGTCAGATCTCTCAGAAAACCAGAACTCACTGGAACAATGGGGATCGAAATCCACCAATTGCATCAAATTGTCATGATACAAATGGTAACACATGAGCAGTCGACCCCATTGCCTGATGAAGACTAGCAGTAAGCAGTCAAAATGTTGTGATCTACATCTCAAGTGACTACATTGTGAGACAAACGATTAAACAGCTTATTACCATTGGCATTGTAAGATTTTTGAATTGATTTTATGCTATGACATAAATTATATTATGACCAACTTATGACTGATTTTTCAAGGTCAGCGAGACTACACAATTATGAAGACCATGATATTTTATTGCATTATAATGATTATGGTGCAAGTTGGGTGATATAATTGATACACACAGAAAGTGGCTGTTGGTTGAACACTTGCCAAAACAAACGGAATGAAGAATGGATTTTATAAGTGAAGTAGTAACTGTATCTTTGGCCACAATGTTAGGTTAAAGCAAGCCCAGAGTCAGTGAAAGCATTTCGTGAATCCTTAGCAAAGCTTGGAGACATTTACATTAATGATGCTTTTGGCACAGCTCACAGAGCCCACAGTTAAGTTGTGCTGTATTTGTGTTTACTTTGAAATCCATCTTGTCTATGTCAAACAATTCATAACTTCAGGAAGACTATAATTTTATGAAAAGAAAATATTTAATGCAAAAAATTCTGCCCTTTGACCTGAAATTGCTTGAGATAACATGCAGGTCAACCCTTAAACTCAAATCAGTGACCAATAGAGAATTTTCCTCAAAACAATATCAATATAAAAACAATACCGTGCATACAAGTGGTGAGAATAAAGAAAAACATCAATTTGGGGATTGTTAGTGGATCCAAAACCAAATTCTCCGAACTAACATGATTAAAAGAATCGTATGGTAGACAGTTATGAGAATTACCTGTAGTAACAAGATCTTGGGAGTTAATAGGTTAAAGACTAAGGATGTGATTATCAAGTTTATTAATTTAAACTAGATACTCTACGTAGCAAGGTTACTAATCTAAATTCTTTAATTTTATCAACAGTTCTATGGTGGGGGTTGATCATACTGTCAAGGCTGCAGGATTTCTGATGGAAAAAGAGTTATTCTACTTCTCTAAAGCTTTGAAAAAACCTGATAGACCATTTCTGGCCATATTAGGAGGGTGGGTACTCTTGCCATCATTAAACTTAGTTACTCTTTTTCTGAATGGCCTCTTCTTGAAAAAATAACTTTCAGGTTCCCCTCTTTGTCAAGTGTGAAAGTATTATGCTGCCATTATCACCATATAGATTACATCTTTCCTGTATTTGCCATTAATTGCTATATCCAGGGATGATTTGAAGGGCAAGAAGGTGTGAATAATGAGGAAAATTCATTCAATCTCTATTTATGAATTCAACAGTAACACAAATTTTTTTCAGAGCAAAAGTTGCTGACAAGATTCAGCTCATTGAAAACTTACTGAAAATAGTAAATGAGATGATCATTGGAGGTGGAATGGCATATACCTTCACTAAAGTACTTAGTAACATGGAGGTATGAAAAATAAAGCTTCCCTAAGCTCTCTCTCTTTCTTCAGTTCCTACAATGGTGTATTCTAGAAAAAAATGTGAACATAATAATTTTGAGTTACAGTATGTAGAAAATGATACTTTGTAACAATGGAGAAATTTTTCACTTTTCACTGATAAAAATATGTAATCATGAAAAAACTCACTCTTTCCACCTGTCCCCATCACTAGGTGAAATTATTTCTAATGCATTGCAAGAAAGGAGGTTGAATTTGAGGTGAATCACACTAATGATACAGTGGTCATAATAACAAGAATTACCTGAATTTCTGTCTGCAGTCAAATTATGAGGTTTGCAAAAATTTGTGAGGGAAATGGTTGGTTTGAAAATGACAATATAAGGCTACGACCTAATGTATGTAACTTTTTTCTTAGATTGGCAAGTCTCTTTTTGATGAAGAAGGTTCAAAAATAGTTCTTGACCTCTTTAGAAAGGCCAACGAACAAGGAGTGACCCTCCATTTGCCTGTTGACTTTGTTACAGCCAGCAAATTTGCAGAGGATGCAGAGGCAAGTTATTTATTTAGAAGTTCTGCCACAACCTTGTCCATTTAGATTTTCAGTTTTGGGTTAAGCCTTTTTTATGTAAGTTATGAATGACTGTGCCACAATGATTTTCCCAGTGATACTCTTTTGCGTTTCCAGTTGATTTGCTTGAGTTATCTGTTCATGTGCAAAAGTTAACTTGGCAAAGAACCACTCTACTTTTCATCAAATGGATATACACCTGGAGAGTGTTCTTTGTATGTGAGAGTTCTTGGCATTTCTTATGTTTTTACTGAGTTTTTTAGGTTAAAATGTGCATTTCAAATGGGTTGCTCCTGCCAACAGAAAAATTAAAAAGCATGCTCTGAAAAACCTTTATTTTACAATGTGGAAGCAATAGTCCTTTTCACAGTTGTGTATTTAGTTGCCAAGCCTTTGACTTAGGGTGAGGCTAAAGGTGACCTTGTTGTGATAGAGACCAGTATCTAGTTAGCTTGATAACAAAGTAATTTGCATTTCAAAAGCAGCAAGGTTTGTATCATAACAAGGTCAACCTTAGCCTCACTCCTATTCAAAGACTTGGCAACCAAGCACACAACTGTAAAGTGAACTATTTAATGCAATGAATGACTCCGACCATTAAATTAAATAATTCATCTCAAAAGTCTAGCTTTGAATACCCCCAATTTCATAAGAAATTGTCCTCATAAATTTTGTTTCCACTATTACACAGGTTGGGAGTGCCACTCTAGAATCAGGAATCCCAGCAGATTGGATGGTAGTTAAAATGATTGGTTCATACGTCAGCATGCATTTACACCCTGTATGGGGATATGAAGCACACAGGAATTTTTGAGAGCACAAAAGAAGAGTCATAGAACTCTAGCTTCTTGAGTGCTCTCAAAACTTCCCAAATCACAGTGCACATTTGGCAATCAGATTTCAAAGGCAATTTGCACATCTGCCTGGTTTACCAAACAACTGCATACTCAAAGGCAAGGCTAAAATGACCCATGCAAAAGGTTTGAAATGCTTGAATTGCTGTTTACTCAAATTCACAACCAGAAAATTGCAAAGCATTGTGTTGAAATTTCTGAACATTTTCCGATTTTAAGCTAACTCTTTTGTTGCACAATACTTTAGGGCACAACTTATCTTCACTTGAAAATAATATATTTGGTCCCAAAAGATGGTCTGAAATTGGCAAAGCTCAACTTTTCTCAGCAAATTCAGTTTTCATTTTCCACCCCTAATTTGTATCATGTCTGGGAATTGTAAAGCTCTCTCTATTACCTCTAAGGCTTACAGGACCATTGCTTTCCATGGCAAGTATCCTTTTTATTAAGTACTTCAAAAATTGTATCTCAATTGGATGGAACAAAAAAACCATTTTGAAATTCCCAAAACTCATGGCCAAACTCAGGTTGGCAAGTCTGCAGTTGAATTTCAGTCTCAAGGCATTTGTTTGCTGAGGCTCAGCTACTGAATTTGGGTTCTTGAAGTTGCTACCTATGATGTAAGTAATTATTTTTAAGGACAATTCAAGTTGACATGTCTTTACACTGACTGGGGTTTGCTGATTAGTTTGTTCCATAATCTCCATGTATATGAAAGATTTGGTACTAATTATTACCTGTGATCATACAAATATACCTCCTTATGCATAGTGGAATGGTATAAATATTAATTTTTCGGGGGGATGTAGACTTTAGGGGCATACATTTTATCTTGTACAATCTTAATTCCATGAAACTGTAAGGGTTGAGCACTGTTTGTAACTACAGTAGTTTAAATAAACATCCTTCCCCTCCAAGATATAAAGGATTGAAAATAATCTTGGAATAGAGGGTGAACATTTTCTGAAATTTGTTGTATTTAATTCTTATTATGAATTATGTGATTCATTAGGGATTAGACATTGGTCCAGAAAGTGTCAAGGCATTTAAAAAAGTTATAGAAGGAGCAAAAACTATTGTGTGGAATGGGTAGGTGCACAATTAATTGATTTTTTTCCTTGGTTATATAGATCTCATCTGTGCTATTGAACAGTTACATGTATATTGATTGTGATAATCCAGCTGACTTGTACCCCTAGGAGGAGTAAGTTTATCTAACTTGTTACTCTCAATCATAACACCCTTTTGTCCCAAACAAGAAAAAATGTTTGCATAGAAATAGCTAATGAACACAGCTAGTAACCAAATGCAGTTTGTGTGCAGTAGTCTGATGTCTTTCTGATACTAAGCAGCATACAAAAGAAGGATGCAAACAACTGATTTATTTAAGCTTTCTTTAATTTGGATGTATTTTTCCTAGAGTTATTTTGTCATGTGTGGTTATTAGCTGTTAAAGGCTGTTTAGCCTCATGACAATGTCTTCATTTAATGCTGAAGTTAAAAATTAGAAATTAGGCTGTCAACATGCATTCACACACCATTGATAAAGTCACAAGTGGGGTGGCCACCAATTTTGGTGCATTTTAACCCAGATTTGCTGGATTAATGGCTGCAGTCTTTTGTAAGTTATTTCACAGACAGATAATTCACTAACTAGCTCAAAAAAAATCCCTAGTTTGTATCATTGAACACATCAGTGTGAACTATTTGGCTAATACTCATGTCATTGTATCATTCTTCAACTTTCTGCATTGCAGTCCAATGGGTGTATTTGAAATGGCCAAATTTGAGGCAGGGACGAAAGGTCTTATGGATGCAGTTGTTGAAGCAACAAAGGCTGGAAAGACGACCATAATTGGTAAAAAATCCATCAACATTGTGCAAAAGGATACCAGGAATATGTCAGTGGTGTTCTCTACTTAGCCATGAGACAATGTCTCTAGAATATGTTGCTACCCTAACCAGCAGTTAGCGATAATTACTCAAAAGAAAACTTCTTGGTTCTTGATGGTACTTGTGATAGAGCATGCTGTCTAAGCTCAGGATTAGGTCATTGGAGAAGACAACAGACTGATGATATTTTTTTTGTTATCTTCAATTTTGTTGTTAGGTGGAGGGGATACAGCCACTTGCTGTGCCAAATATGGTACTGAGGATCTTGTAAGCCATGTCAGCACTGGGGGAGGTGCATCACTTGAGCTCCTAGAAGGTAACACCACCTTGTTTTTTTACTTTTTATTAATATTTTGTAATGTACCAAGGTGATGTTCTGTTGTTGATGTCTTGTTCCTATTTGAAGGTAAAACCCTCCCAGGAGTTGCTGCTTTGTCAAATGCATGACTAAGGATCAGTCATCTCTGAGATTGTAATGTGATTAGTAGCTCGCATTTAGTACATATTTGGGAGTTCAGTTTCACAGCTGGCAAAATTAGTTATTAATAAGAGGATAAATCCCAATTACTCTGCATGCATAAGTTAAATAAAAATCTTTTAGGGAATGGTTACAGTGTAGTTGGTGTATATACACATACACTTCATCCAAAATTTGAGTGTTATTGTCAAGTGATACTGCTGATTGTTGTAGCACAATGAGTGATTTGCTGAGAGAAAATAAATACTGACAAACAAACAACAGTGGGTGTTGAGGATTTTGTCTATAGCAGGTTGTATGTATCCGATTTCATAGCAGTTTGTAATCACCTGAAGCAATAACAATGATATGACCATATGGTGGATGACCATATACTAGCAACTGTAGTAGTAATAAAAGTTTTATAAGTAACTTCTCAGCAGTCTGGTTTCTAGTTTCTTTTCTTAAAAAATAACCAACTCTCACTTGAAAAAAAACAAAATACTTTATTAACATTATTATCATATTAGAAACTGCTTGTACAATTTTAAGTTACACTTTGGTGAAAATAAAGTCACTCTATCCTTAACACAAAAGTTTGTAAGCCTGACAATAATTAAGTCCCATCGGTTGCCAGTATTTTAGCAAATCTTAACAAGAATATACAAAAATCTTTTAGTTTCTCACTTGAAGGTATTGACATTAATATAAACAATAAGATCAATGTTTATTTCCTCCTTACCATATGGAGTGCTATCTTACTGAAAGGGAGGAAATTCAACACTATGTGCAGATATATCTACAATCTGCACAACTACCAATGGCAACTTATCCTTGACCATTAAGGAAAGAACACTGTGTACAGCAAGGAAAGTTCAAATGTTAAGGGAGCCTGTGCATGTACACTTTCACTTCTTGCTGTTGCACCAGAAGAAGTCCATAAATACTCCTTTGGTTGTTTTCAGTACCTCACTTAATCTAAGTTCCTTTAAACAGGTTCCTTGCCCAATAATAAAACTTCTACAAATTGCAAACAACATAGCTTGGGCTTGAAATATATGGTAATTACTGTATGACCCCATAGAGCTGAAACACCACCAATAGTTTAGTGGTAAATAACTATTCAGTAAATAAATGCTACACACAAAATGTGTAATAAGTTACTTATTATCCAACTGCCTTATCTTATCATTTCTTATGCAAGATTTGCAAAAATGTCCCCTATTTCTCCTTTTAAACAACTCACCCAAGTATAGCTAAACCCGTTAAACAGGTTATTTTTTACAATGCAAAACAACCAACTGTCCAAATGGCCTTGCAATATTGCAAGGTATTTGAGCTCAATCCGTGCACTATTTGCATGCTACTTAATGTAGTTGGATAGTAAATGGTGTTACATATGTACAAATAGATGAAAGAGTGAACTTAACAAACATGATTTCCTGCCATTAATGTTAACTTCTATTCAGTGATGAAGGTAATTCATTCAGTTAGTATCTACCTGATTACCTATTTCAGAATAGGATCCTCTTGACCCATAGATTGCTTTACATTCAAGGAAAAGTATACTCTGGGAGCCATTTAATCTTCTTCACCATAAAAAAAGTTCTCAAACTGCCAGTGTCCTTAGGCAAAATAGCAACCAGTTTGAAAACCTATTCTTTTACTTTTCAGAATCTCAAACCATGCAAAAGAGTAGATTTTCATTAATTCTTTTACTTGTGGAAATACCAATTACAAGGTTTCTGGAGCCTACTTCTTTAAGAAAAGGGAAAAAAAGCTAGAAACAAACTATTTTTAAGTGCAGGTTTATACTGTCATTTGGTTTCATCAGCAGAGTCGATAATCTAAAATGCTTTTGTTTTTGTTGGTCTAAAATGCTTTTGTTTTTGTTGGTCTAAAATGCTTTTGTTCAGTTGGTTTTGAGAGTTGAAATGCTCTAACATCCATTTATTTCTCCTTTTTTTAATGTCTTACTGTATTTGCTGTATGTGGCTAAAAGAATGTCCCTCTTAAGACTGTCAAAAGCATTCATATCAACATTTAAGTGTGATCATTTCAACAAAAAACAACTCCTGTTATGGTGTACACCAGGAATGAAAAAAGGGACTTGTGACCCTCAATTCCTCCCATTCTCATTAGTTAAGTTGCTTTGCAATTGCATTTATATTTTTCATTTTCTCTTCCCTTTTTATCCTGCATGTTAGACTTTTCAGTTCATCAAGTACCAGTAACCAATTAATATGTGACTTATTAAAACAATTATACTATGAATTATGTCATATGTGACCAGAGCTAACAGCTAATATCATAATTATGTCTGTTAGTCATCTGAGATTGTAGCAATAACATGCTCAAGCTTGGAAGCCAGGGGTGATAACTCAGACTCTTCTAAAGCATCTTGCAGCTACAGAGGAATAAACAGTATTTTTCAAATTTTTACCCAAGTAACCAATATTAAAAAATAAATGATGTCAACTTTGAATTAAAGTTAAGAAGAATGATAACTGCTTATTAAATGGTTTATTTTTAATAGATTGGCATCAAGGCATTGTTGGCTCATGATGACTAAAGCTAGCTTTGAAATAAAAAAAACGGTAAAACTAAATAAATTTGCCACTATTGATTTTCAAAGTTTACATTTCAACCTATGCAGTATCAGGAAGCTGTTTCTACAAAATTAAGAGGTAGAGGAGCTGGAAGCAAATCTTTTTGAAACTTATACAGCTCAAAAATGGCAAATTTTCCCATTACCCTGTTTACCTTACAGTTGCACCAACTAAAAACATAATAAGTGATACCCCTCTCCTCTTGCTTTGTTTAAGAGCAAGACCTGTGTGCTACACAAAAGCTATCCCATGATGCTAGTGATAGTTCAGAGCCTGTTTTGACAATCACTTCAACATATTTTGTTCATATAGGGGTCTTCACTCTACAGTTTATACCAAGTTTGGAATGTGTTTGTATTACCTGATCTTGATACTTTCTGACATAATCATACAATTCCTGGAGGGCACTGTCACCATCAAACTCTTGACTATGTTCCTTTGAAAGTAACAGTAACATACTAATTAATATTCAACAAAGCAGCAGTATGAGGGTATTCAACCCAGAAGCCCCCATTTGGTGCAAAACTATTTTTGTATGTTTGAGTATGATGTCCTGATAACATAACCAATTCCTCAAAGCTCAAAATTTACTGAGCTTTGCTCTCAGAAAATTTGTCAGAAGACAAATATCCAATTAAATATAGATATACACACATATATACCGGGTACATGAATATATTGAGATGAAAGTATAGTCAATAGTGAGTAATTTTAATAAAATCCCCTGATGAGTGAGTGATTTTAATATGAAAGTAGAGCAAATAGAGAGTAATTTTAATAAAATCCCCTGATGAGTGAGTAATCACAAAACAGGCTTGTACCAATAAAAGTATAGTCTCTGTTTTTTTCCCCTATCTCAATATATATTGCACTCTGCTTCTACCTATTGAGCATTGTACAACAGAAAAATCAAAACTGACTTCCTAAATATATATATATATATTGCAGCTTTAGAGTTAAATTGGGGAAAGCAAATATAAAAATATGAACTTAACATTGAAAGTTTGTGTCAAATTTTGATGGCCATATAATAGTTTTCATGCTGCACAATTGTTTAATCAGATTTGTAGGGTAGTTAATATAATTTGATATAGGCCATACATGGTACAGATGTCTTTGAAATTTGTTCCATCAGGAGTCAATATATAAAGCATGAATCCAAACTCTCAGAGGGTATCTACTAAACAGGGCTACTTGTGAATAGCTTTTATGCCAGTAACCTTACCATGGAGAAATCACTAAAGAACTTTGATAACTCTTGAGATGTTGGGGCAGGTGATGCTTGTATATCAGAATAAAACCTGTAATATAAGATTAAAACACATTTTTTGAAGTTTCTAGGATAAGACTGGTTGCAAGCTTTGCTGGATACTTAGTCCCCAAAAAAGTAATAAATAACTAATTAATTTAATATAAAAGTCCCCCTTCTTGAGTAAAACCTTCTAATACAATAGATGCCTTCCCTGACCCAAAAATTTCAAAAGCATGGCAAATATAATTCAGTATTTTGATTTTGATATTCAAACCGAGACACAGTACTAAGAAAAAATGTTTTTTAAAAGAACTCACTTTAAATGTCAAGAAATTCTTTCTGTGACACATTCGTGACTTACCTCTCAACATCTTGGCGATATCCTGGAATTTCTCTTGCATAGAGCAGTTTATTTGATGGTGAATCCTGCATACAGTAATGACAAAAAATATATAATGTTGACGTGATATTGATTAATGATCTGGATTTTACATCAAGGCTAAGTTTAACTTAAAAGGTTATAGTTTACCTTTCCCAGGACATGCTCAGACACAGAACAGGAATCCATGAACAACTTAAAAGACAAAAAAATGCATTAAAACATATATCAGTATCCATTTCTGTACAATTGTCGAGTTATCTATGGTCCTTAATGACATTATGGAAGAATGATAAATTCAAGCTGGGACATTGCATGGTTTGCACAATGCTTTTTGGGATGTTTTGCACATTGAGACCCAGGCACACTAGACAAATTTTTGTTTATTTTGCAAAAAAAAATCGGTTATCAGTTCAGGGAGACAAGTGCACCCAGTGATTTTTTATCCTACCAAATTTTGGTGAGCTCTAACAATCTTTAAAGGTGCCATCATCCTGCCTAGAAGCAGGATAAAGTTTTGCCAGGCCTGAAATCTCATAGATTTTCCCATTTATAAGCCACAATTTGAAGGATCAAATCAATCAGGAAAATTTTATCTTGCTTTTTAAATGGCAGTTGGAATGCTACATGACAACCAGTAATCAGAATTCAACAATTATGGCTCCCAAGTTTATAGTTAAGCTGAATCCCCAGCAGGTCCAAATACTGCTCAGTTTTGTATATTCCTGTGATTGACATTTGGTGGTTAACAAATATTTTGCTGTTTCCAGTGTGCCTGTGATTGACAAATTGAAAATTTAGCAGAGATAAATTTCAATGTCGAGATTTTATGTGGAACAAAATAAATTTTGCCAGCCTAGTGCACTCAGGCCCTGTACCTCTATGGTTAGGCTTGAATAACTTGGAAAAGTTTCAATTTTCCTTTCTAAGTTACAACAAGTTCACCCACCATATGTTTAACCATTAAATTACCAACAAGCATATGGGTTGATGGTAAGTTGATTGTGCCCTGCTGGTCACCAGTCCTCACCAACCAGATGGTTTGATGGTAAATACAATAACCCCTGCCAGTCAGCAGACATTACCAACAAAATGGTCAATCAATAAGTACATTGACCCCTTTTGGTCAGTAGTCATTAGGCCAAGTACATTGTATGTGCATTCCATAACATAAAGATCTTACCTGTGCAACAACAGACAAGCAGGAGTCAACAATGGCAGACTTGCAAACATCAAATATGAAGTTTGGATTCTTAATTATATTTATCCAGAACCTCAATGGCAAACTGAAAGAGAAAGGAAAAATATGAAGATTTGAGCTTAAACTGGCAATAAAATTTTGCTTTATAATTACTCTGACCATGCAATGCATACTTGGGGCTCAAGGCACTATAGCAAACATCTAAATTTGGAAGTTTAACCCAAAAGTAAGAGACATTTTAAGTAAGTGGCAATTAAAATAAAGCTGTGTACATGAATGTCACTGTCCATTTTCTTGAGTGATGATGTCAAGGAGACAATGAAGAAAATGCCTACACCTCTATTTGACCAACCAATACAATTTGCTGACTTAGTTCTTTTAAAGTACTAGAATGTGGAGAAGAGATGGATTCTGGTTTGTTGCTTGTAAAGGAAAATTCTAAAAGTTACCCTTGTTTATGGTCATCATGAGCATTTGCTCCTTCTAAATATGCAGTATGGACAAGGAACCATGGCAAGGAAAATGGAGTGCTCAAACTTACTTTTTCAGTGCTCCTCAAGGAAATTTATCCAAAATTGTCTTAATTTCTAGTTCATTGACAATTTTATGAATAATTTACTAAAAATATCTTATAATCTAAACTAAATATTGCACAAGTAACACTACCTTATAACAGTTCAACAGTGGTTCCTTTTGTGATAAGGAAAGGAACTTAATCTCCTCATAGACTCTGATTTGCTTGTCTAATTAGAGGTCTTCAAAATGCCTAAAGTTTGTTATTATATGCACATGTAAGTACCTGTTGTTTTTCCATGTATGTAAGACTTCAGGATCTGATAGGTTGAGTTCTCTAGCTTGCGTATCGAGAAGGTCAAACAGAAACTTGACAGCTGGAGGTAAGCTGCAGCCACGGCGATACTTCATGAAAACAGTGTGAAAAAGCCGATCTACAAACTGCTGAAGTGTACCCTGCACAAAAAGAGAGTAACTGTGAACCACACAGTATCCTGTGTTAAGCAAGCCTTAACACTAAAAGTGACTCCCAATGAAGTCTGGTAGAAATTCAGAGAAAATTGATTTCAGGTTATGAATTAGCTTAAAGGATTCTTTTAATTAATTCTATGTACAAGGAATTAAAAACCCCTGTCAATAGTAAATTGATGACAGAAGTCATCTGGAGCAGGTTTCCACAGTTAGCATGATATGTACTAAGTGGTAGAGATTACCTTTGTCATCAACAGTCTAGTTAGATAAATCTCTGATAAGAACTTGCTGTTATGATCATCTTCTACCCTTTCAGTAGGGTAATCCATTTGTTTAACCTGTGCCATACAAAGAAAAGAAGCCAGACTACAAATCTTACAAAAGTATAAAGAGGAATAATTTTTACTTCTAACTCAATAATAAACTTGTAGGTTTTTACACTAAAATCAATCATTTTCATTTTTTTAGATGCATTTTCTTTAAAAAGACCAATCAAAAGTTCTAAATGAAGCTTATAAATGTTAAGTCACCACAGAATGAGTCAAGAAAACCTCAATGTTAAGTGCAATGCAAAGAAAATTGTGGTATTTACAGAGATCATTCATTTTTAAATCATTCCATCTCATTTATATACCCACAGAAAAAGTGTCTTGTCAGTTAAGGAGAGCATAACTTCAACATCAACTTTCAACTTAAAAAAAAGAGCCCATACCAAATGCCACAGCTTGCCACCCTCATCTGGTCCATCTGTATTCATAGCTGCCAAAGGGCTGTAACTTCCAGCAGGACTGAAGTTAACTCGTAGTATATTCTTTTTGTTTAACTCTTTGTGGAAAAGATGCAATTATCATCTATCATTATCAATCATCAATTTACTGTGAGATATGAGTCACTGTGTTGTGTTAGCAGGCAAGAGAATAAAATGCTGTCACATAAATTCTCTACAACCAGGTAGGAGTTGATCTGAAATTGACAGACATTACATCCAAGGGGAGTAATAATACTCTCATTTGCTTCTTGCCATAGAAAATAAGATAAAGTCTACCAGGTTAAACCACTTGGCTCATGTTTAGAAACACAATTTCAGAACTGCAGCATTATACTGGAAATACAATTCTCTCACCAGAGTCTGTTGAGCTGCAAAAGTATCTTTGTCCAGTGACAAGCTTCAGCGTAGCACCATCTGTCACCTATAGTTGATAGCAAGTATGATGTGCTTATAGGATACATTTCTTCTTGTAAATGGATTCTTCTTTCAAGAAGTTCTAACTCCCCAAAGAGTCAGGTCAATACCTAAAGGGCTTTAAATCACTCTATATTTTTATAGTTAGCACAATTATTGCCAGCCCATAGAAAGCCACAAATTAAATCAAATTGTAGCCACAGCTATATTCAAAGTTAACAGATGGACAAACAGAAGTGCTGAGAAGTTCTTGCAGCAGCCACCATACTTTAAGTGTCCACTTCAAAGCCATAGCTTATTACCTCATAGTCTTTAAGTGTATTAATCTTCCTCCATTCTCCTTCAATTAATGACTTAGAATCATCATTCCGCAAAGATATAACCCTTCCAGAACTCTGCTCCCATTCTGCGAATATTAAAGGAACTAATGATTAGTTTTAGAAACTAGGAAATTCTTGATTGTGACTATATGAAAATAATATATGTAAACTGCTGCTGAAGTAGTGTTCATTACCGCAGTTCGTATATATGATTTTCATGTGTTTTCAGTCATTTACTCATCACTTCACGGGTTTATCACAAACCAACATGGTGACCACCTCCCAGCTGGCTTGTTAGCTTAGTTGTTTGAGCACTGCACCATTATTGCAGGGGTCATGCGTTTAAGTTCTACGCTGGCCTAAATTTATTTCAGGCCTTATTTTCACTGCTGCCTGAGTAGTGTTCATTACTGTGAAGATCCCTTTCATATTGAAGGAAATTCTTGTTAACCAAAGGAAGACAGAGTGAGCTTTATTCCTACCTTAACAATCAAAAATAAAAGTTTCATAAAATTCTCACCAAGCTGATAATCATCTTTATCTGGACGACTTGAATATGGGGAATTCTGTAATGAGAGGATTTCCAGTCAATAAATCACAATGATGTATAGTAACAAAATAACTTACCAAAACAGAAATTATTCCAAAAACAAATTTACCAAAATGTGGTTTGAACAGTTAAGTATTGTAAATGATCAAAATCAAATTGGCAGTCACTAAAGGCTGAAAGTTTTCATGTAACAGTACATAGTATGGACATTTAAAGAAGGAAAAGAAGACTTCTGTATTATTTTTTGGATTATAAGGCATGCAAAGTATATATTTGGAATCTTGTGATTATCATGTGACAGATATCAAGATGTAACCATCTTAGGAAAGTTGGTTGTTATCCGTGAGAAAATGGAAGGAACAAAGAAAAATACTGGGCAAAAATATATGGAATTGAATCAGTACTTCAATGGCTCATCATGTGTGGCCTTCAAGTGAATATTGTACACATGACACCAGCTGTCACTTAAACAAGATGCAAACTTACTTGGGCTATTTAGGACAAGGATTTGAAGCCCATCTCAAATATTTCAATAGATAATATTGCCTCAAAAAAAAAACAAACAAACAAAAAAAAAAACAAAAAAAAACTCAAACCTTGAATAAGACATCCAAGATCTTCTCTTTTGCCTGAGTGATGGTGTCACAATCCAACATTGAAACTGTCACAGGCTGATTGCTTTCATAGGTAACTATAACATTTAGAGGCTAACAGCAAAAGAAACCAATGAACACAGTCAAGCAATTAACAAAAATATAGCAGAACTTCAGAAATCAAAGTATTATGATCCCAAGAAAAAAAAATTTATATATATATATATATAGGATGTTTATAATCCTGTTTTTTAAATCATCTTTTTTAAGGAAAAACTGGTCAAATAATCTACCTTAAAGTCCACAGCTTGTCTGAGAAGTTTGTCTTCACTAAGTGAATATCTAGCCTCCCCAGTTACTGCATCCACTGGTCCCTTCTCAGATTGTTGTTTAAGTGCTTTAAACAACATGAATAATGGCTCTCCAGCATCATTCTACAAAGCAAAATGTTATCTTAGAAACAGTACACTACATATCATACACACTACCCATAAAACAAGGGCTTCCATGGATAAAAATGAAGTATACATATAGTGCAGTAAAATATACATAAAACTTTACACCACTTCTAAACAATCCTGACATGTACTTTTTGTGCTTCTCAGTACATTCTACCTTTTCCATATGAAGAGCTTATATAAGTTTGCTACACTGTCTGCCATACATTTCTCACCATTTCAACTTTAAGACCTTTTAATTAGTTCAATCAATATGCCCTAGCAGATACTTTTATTTTTTCTAATCAGGTTTCTGTCTGATGGAGTATTGATATTGTAATTGAAAGAGAAACTATTTACTGGGGGAAAAGTCAACTTGTTTAAATACCAAATATTCTATAAATTCAAACTTGATCAGTTGACAGCTATTTTTGTACACAGTAAACCCACATGACATCTTAGTAATGAGCAGGTTCTTTGAGACATTCAATATATTTTTAATTATAAAACTTTAAGTAGCAGCAAGCTATGTCAAAAACAGGCTTACCAGAAAAAAAAAGCTTTGCCTTTTCCCTCCACCATTTAATTAGGCTCAAGCCAGTGCCTGAGATACACTCCATACTAACAAACTCCTTGATCTGATCTTGACTATAGGTAAATAAATTTTAACTATTTTGACTATTCATTCTCTTCCTCCCATTGTTATCACAAAAAAGATTCTCAAGTACAAAAAAAAATAACTAATAACCTATTTATCAAAACTGTAATTAAAATTCCCTTCATCAGTAGGGTTAGCAAATGGTTTGAGATCTGGGTTACCTACCTTGAGGAAATCATACATACAGAAGGCCAACCAGTTTGTTAGCATCTTTTCTGCTACAGACTCAGTTCTGGAAGGGATATCAGTTTTAGACATTTCATCAGAACAAATTCTTTAGGCAGTGCTTTCAATAAGATTTGAAGTAGGTGGTTACCTTGGTAAAGCACTGCCCGAGAATAATATGACAAACAATTTCCCCTTGGTTAGCCCATTAGTACCATTCAGAGTAAACTAGCCTCAAACAGATTTTTGGTGTTAAAATTTGGTAAATGATCATTAATTATTAGTCTCCTTTGTAACAAACCCACAGTTGGAGTTCATACAAAAAAAACTTTGTAAGGACATATGGTTACTGGTTACCAAAATTTGAGTCACTATGTTCTTGGACACTCAAAATCTTTTTTTTTTTTGTGGAAAATGATGAGATAATATCAATCATATTTATCATAACTTGTCTATTAAGGTAAAAGTCAACTGAAAGAACTCCAAAAAGTTTCGAGGTGTTTGCTTGAAAGCTTTCAAAATGTCACAGATCCAGAATGACAATAACTATCCAACATAGCAAAATGCTAAACAATTTCAACTGGCAGTCTACAAAATATATAATATCCTGTGTGTATCAAATTTTGGTATGCACATGTTCTCAAAGATGCTACAATCCAAATCTTACTCAAGCATGGCCAAGCCAGATTCTTATGTTTTCCATTTGTACATCACTCTTTCACTCACAGTTGCTTAAAGTATTTACATTGCAACACCATGATCTTTGTCAATATTTATTTGATAAAAGATTAGAAGCTAAGGGTTCAATGGCTGTTTTCCTTCAGCCTTGGTTAAGCATTTTTTATGCAAACTTGATATCTCTGCAAAAATATTGTCAATTTGATTTACATGAGCTATGGACAAGCACGCTATTTTAACAACTTTGGTTTCAAGTTTATTCACCTACTAGCAGATGAGAAGAATTACTTTTGTTTTACTTTTCTAAAATTATTTGATGATTTCAGTTCTGCACAAAGTTGTTTGAGAACTTTTATAAATATGATGAATATTCCAATATTAAAATGCCTACTATTTTCTATGTTATTTATTTTTCTGTTCAGTAAATTTAACGTGCATATAGCAGAGTATACCCATTGATGAACAATAGAATACCCACAAGAGCTCCAGCGGGTGCTGGGTTTCATTGAAAGCACTACTTAAGATGTCTTTCTACAATCAGTGTTTGCTGGTAATAAGGTTGTAACTGTTCTAATTAGTCATGTATGACTATACACATGATTATGACATGACTGCAGATTAAAATCCTCTGTAAAAAAAAAAAAAACAAAAAAAAAAAAAAAAAAAAAAAAAAAGGTCAAAGATGCAGACATATGCATCAAAAGAATTGCACTTCCAACACTGAAAACCTTCTTACCAAAAGAACCTAGAATGTTAAAACAGGTGGTAATTACATTAAATTTAGTGTAAAACTTAGATGAAAGGGGCAATTTGAACACAAAAGGATGCCTAACTCATTGGGCCGAGATTGGGGTATATTGCAAAAAATGCAAAATCAATTAGGGGATTTTAAAGCTTCTCAGTGAAAAAGGTAAAAAAAGGTAAGATCAGTACTTGATTATCAGTGACAAATTACTATCACAGATCCCAGCATAGGGTCACTTAACAACTAAATCAAATATAATTCACACAAACATGTAGAAGCTCTACTATCATTTAAATGGCAAATGATCAATTGTGACTAACTTACCTCCTTAGTAGCAGCTTTGGATGACTCTTTGCTACTGATTTGCGTATCAACTCACAAAGTAACTCTTTTAATATGCTGGCAAGAAGGACAGACACGTTGTTCAAAGCAATATCCATACCTGAGCAGCACCTGTGCTTTTTCATTTTGAACCCATTAGTTTTACTTCATACAAGCAAGGCTTTCCCAAATTTTGGGTTTTAGACCCCCCACCCCCTCTGAGAAATTTTTCAGTGATCATCCATGTGATAGGAGTGAAGGTTTTTCTCTGATCAAAGAATCCAACATTTAACACACAACATTTTTTTGTTTGGCTTGCAGCTCAGGAACATTATAGGACTAAAAATTTATACCCTAAATAGAGCGTCCCCCCTGCCACCATGAAAAACAAGCAAATATGAATTACTTACTCAGTAGCATATTCCATCTTGGCTTGCAGAGCAACCATCAACAAAGATGCAACATTGCACCTGCAAGGGATAAATAATTGTAATTTCATTAACTATAAGAACTATCTCATACTTTATATTAAGAAATATTGTTAATAATGAATGAAAAGATTCAACATAATAATGGTCCAAATGAATCTTAATTCCATTTACCTGTTCCTTCACCTGGAACCTGCCCCCTTCCCCAACCACACCTTAGAGGAACTAAAAATTTAAAAACTTCCTACTTCAACACAGTAATATCTGAGAGCACAACCAACCTGTCTTTCATCTGAAAGGTATTTTGTGACTCCAAGGTGCGTATGAATACCAGAAGAAATTTTTTATTGTAGATAAGTTGGGAGAATTGTCGCAGTCCTTTCTCCCAGTTTTCTGCGAGAGTGCCCTTTGAAACATAAGAAAAAAAGTTCACATGAATATCAAAACATCCATCAACACACACCTCTTCACAACCACCCCACACTGTCATCCCACCAAGATGATTTGAGCTCTTAACCCTTTCACTCCTAGGAGTGAGCAAGACAATATCAATACAAGTAGTAAAGTACACTATCAAACAAGGGATATTGACAGCCCCTAATCTAAAGTCTGAGACTTCCGGAAAATTCTCCTTTCTTACCCCAGATTATTCTTCTCATTGACCACAAAACTTAGATGGAGCCTAGTTTCACTCTAATGAATATCTTTTTATAATAAGGCTCAGATTTGTGTTAGATATAGCATTCCAGGTTTTCCAATTCTTTAAAGTGTTTACCTTGTGCTTGTGAAGCACAGGGTGATCACCTAAACCAGGGAACAACACATGCAATGCAAACATGCGGAAATCTAAAAATGGCATTCCTGAATTAGATAAGTCACTGGTCAAATCTGTCACATCAGTCTGAAGTTCAGCAAAAGCTAAAATAAGACAAAATAATTAGAATTAAAATTTTATAATAACAACTGTAAGATAAAATAGTGGTACTATATCTTCTACAGTACAGAACACAAGCAGAATATTTCTTCTTTCTGAATCTTACTACACAATCCCACATGGGAAGGTGCCATTGCACAGGTTATACATGTATTATTCAATATTGTTACAGCCAGAATACATCACCTAACAGAAATACATTACCATTAGGCAAAGTTTTATCTTCTCTATCAGTACACCCCTTAATTTCACTCCAACTCCTTGCTCACCTTCCCTGCACTCTCGAGCAACTTTGGACTCCAAATTATTCATCTGCACCTCAAGGTTTTTAATAGCTTTTGACTTTTTACGACGAGAATGGCGATTCCAGCAAAGAATAATGACAACAATGATGAAAATAAGAAGAACTCCACCACCCACTCCAATCCAAACTTCAATAGGAATAACTTTGTTCTCCTCCTCTTTAAAGTACTCAAGATTACCCAAAGGAAAATTAAGATTACCAACCACAACCTAAGCCAAACAAAACAAAAATTAAATAAAGCACTTAGCAACACTTAATACATTATCATGATGGTTAAACTGTGCATAAGATCAATAACAGAGCTTCAGACCTACAGGATTTTAGTTAAGGAGGATAGAGGGAAAAGATAAAATCAGATTCCAGACTGTAGCACTTCTTTGAAAGGCCAACTGACTGAAAAGGTTTCTACAACACTTAGCTATCTAGATGTAGAACATGATGTCTTTCAGGGTTTACTGTTACAATGTACATTTCCCAACAAAAAATATACAGCAAGACAAACTCTGAAGCACTAATGAATTTGTAGTTTACAAAAAAAACTGTGGTGCTGCATTGGTGGGAAGTAACAAGATAATTTGGTTTTATTAACTAAAATAATAAGCAAATGTTTTGCACTTTTACCCTTTGTTTTTACAAGGTCCCATCACATAGACAAACAAGTGTTTTTGATGGGAACTGGTACAACTTTGATGAAAGCCAGAAAAATTTTGTCAAACCAAGAGAGAAAACTGTATTTGTTTTTTCTTTATTTTGGATGTAGGCAGAAGGTTTAGCACTAAATGCTTACTTAATGTACTTGACCCAGTTCTTCTGGAACATAACAAACATTATCAAAGGAAGCTTACTGACATACATTTACCTTAACAGAATACAGTCCATCAGATGTTTGTGGGGAATGGCTCTCTTCTGAAGGCACACGGCAAACCAGCTGGGTCTGCAAAGGACAAAAAAAATAATAATAATTGTTTGTTTAGGTGTTATTTGATTTTCATGATAACTTGTAATTTCGTCAGTCGCCAGCATCTTTTGTTACTTCACACAGGAAAAACACACAATAGGAAATGTAATGATCGATTTTGTCCTCAATCTCACACCATAACAGAAAAAGCTTTTGAACATCCGTAAACTCAGAGCGCGTTTTCAAGTTCAAGGATTGTAAATTACAATTTTATGAAAAACGAAGGTTTTTCTGTTATTTCAGTGTGAATCCTTGCATACCTGCCAGTGCCAGTCGCTGATGCCACATGTTGAAATTAAAACGAAAAAAAAAACTCTTTTAAGATTATCATTGGCTTCTTTTTCACCCCACCTCTATTCTTAGCAACAAAGGTTGCTATTTCATTTGTTTACTGCTTGCCAAAAACTATCAAATGCACTCAAAAGCCTAAAATCAAAAAAAAGTTTACAGGAATCGACCAATCGAGCAAGCGAGTGTGCAAGTGAGTGCCATTCTCCACATCGTATCTACAACTCACTCTTGCACATGCACGCAATTTACGAGTTAAAAATGGTTCCATTTGATATTTCCATGGAGTTGAACAATTTTAACTTTAAATTTGGTGCTGTATAATGTGTGATAAGGTGAGAGTAGAACACTGAGTATAAATAAACACTAGTCCTAAAGTAATACATAGGGGAATAAAAACCTGATAAATAATGCACCTTGTCAACACTTGTTATTTTGCAGGGTAATCTTCCAACAGTCACAAAGATCTGTTCTCTTAGTTTGTCTTGCAAATTTTTACCCTAGTGAAAAGAGTGATACAGTGCAAGAGTGATATAGCATAACTAATTAAGTGTCAACAAAAGCTTTCTCATTGAGGTCTATTCCTACCATTTATAAATATACACATCGATTTTGTACAGCATAAAGTTCTACAGGTTGAAAGCAGAATTTAAAAGCACAGAAAGAATCATTATCTTTTACCAAAACCACACAGGTGAAAAGGTTATTTTGTGGAGTTTAAAATCAGAGAACACTATGTAAATGAGGTTTTATAAATTGCCAACACTCAACTCTTAGTATGAGAATCCTATGGATGCAGTATCTTCTCTGATAATTTTTATCTCATGTACCATCAGTGGCAAAGGGGTTTAACAAATGTCTCATACAGCTTTCTAATCACAAATCTTTGGCTATTCACCCTTCTCCAAGCTAAAATACTTATATACTGACAGTTAGAACGTCAGAAATAAATGACAAGTTACAAGAACTGCAAATATATGATCTCATGGTTCAGATGCATCTATAACAAATTGTAACTTGTAAACTTGTAAATGTTACTTATTGGCAGTGAAAGCATAATATACAGAGCTTACTGAAATTTCATACAATTTTAAATCAACTTTAATGAATGACTAAGAAGACTATCACAGTCATTATATTGCTGAATAGCACTAAAGAATCATAACCATATGTTGAGAGTCTGTAGATACATAATCACATTTTTGCGAGGATAATTTGTTATTATCAACTGAGTTGATAGGGTAAATTGGCCACTGTAACAGGTTTCAAAGCTGACCTTTTAGAGCATTAACCCTTTGTCAGAGTGAATGATGAAGGGCTAACACTCAAAATGTCTGATTTGAAACTCTTTCCAATACCCACTTTATGTTATCAACTCAGTTGATAATACAAAATTACCCTGTTATACTCTCCCACTGAAGCAGCACCATTGACAGTTTCTTTAGAAACTTACCCCTTTTATATATTTTTATGAACTGTGTTTGTAACTCGTACCTCAAGTATAAGGTTTTCTGTCTTCAGTACATGGAGATCATCTTTAAAACGCTTAAAAAACAGATCTGGAATCATTGTTAAACTTGTGTGGTTTGAGCGCAAAGGTATACCAGCATCCATTAAAAACTGAACCTGCAGTTTTGACACATTTCCACCAAAATTTGGTACTTTTGGACTTTGACAAGTGATAAGTGTGCTTCTTATTGATTCACAATCCTATAAATAATGAAATTTAGCACATAAGAGATTTTATTAAGATTTCCTCAAATGTCCTGCTTGAACACTGATGAACACTTACTTTAAGGAGAAATGGGCCAACCAACAGTGATTGGTGGAACAAGTTGAAGTCAAGATAACAATCTATGCAGGTCAGCCTCCTTAAAAACACATTGACATGTACTAATACCTTGAAATTCCACATTAAGTCTAGCTGTAAAAAAGTTGAAAAAGGTGTGCCTAAACCCTATCTTTGTGGGTCTGATTTCAGTATTAATACATTTGTATGAGACACCGACTGAAAATCAAGTTTAGGAGCTTTTACCTGAATCAATTTAGTAGTTCCATTGGGTGAAAAATATGTGAGATACATTCTTGGTTTCTGAATGGTGTCCAAATTGGTGCCAGTGATACGTAACATCAGACCTCCACTATAAGTAGAAAAGATTTGGAATTCAGCACTTCTTGAAAGAGATGCTTGAATTGCATGCTTTGGGTTTGGTCTTGAAGATCAAAGAAAAAGGAGAACCCAGGTGGAAATCTTATTAAGATCTTGGAAGATCTTGTAAGATCTTGGAAGATCTTGTAAGAATCTTATAAGATGGCAATTAAGATGAAGATCTTACTAAGATCTTATTAAGAATTAATAATCTTAATAAGATCTTGCCAAATTCTTGAACAAATCTTAACCAGGTTTGAGCATTGTAAGATCTTAAAAGATCTTATTAAGTTTATACAAGAATCTTGTAAGAATCTTGACAAAATTTTACAACACATGGGGATTAAGATCTTGGAAGGTTCTTAACAAGATCTTACTAAGTTTATTTAAGAATCTTGTAAGAATCCTCACAAAATTTTACAAGAAATGGGGTTAAGATCTTGAAAGGTTCTCAACAAGATCTTATTAAGTTTATTTAAGAATCTTAAGAATCCTAAAAAAAAAAATTTACAACACATGGGCATTAAGATCTTGAAAGTTCTTAACAACATCATATAAAGTTCACTTAAGAATCTCAGTTGTAAGAATCCTAATCTTTAAGAAAAGGAAGATCTTACAAGCTTCTTGACAAGATCTTGGTAAGTTTGTTTAAGAATCTTAATAATGAAGTAAGATCTGTAAATGTAACATTAAGATTCTAGACAGGATTTCATCTAAAGTTCATCTAAGAGTTTTGTAAGAATCAAAATTTTAAGATCAGTAGGAATTTAAATGTTCTTGACAAGATTTTATCAAGTTTATTCCAGTACATTCTTGAGTAACTTGAAATGCTTATCCTGTTCTGTTCATAAGAGAGCATGGGGATGCATAAGGCTTAAAACCTCTCACACATGATGTGAAAAATGCCATGTCCAAAAAGGGATCACATAACGTCAAGTAAGCTTCTATGGTATGGTGTGCAAATTTCAGACCTGAGAACACAATATACATGCAGCTGCTTTCTAAAGAGGTAATTGTTCCACTGGAATTATGATATCAGCAGATTAAATTTGGACAGACTTTTCAGATTACATTTGATGATTGATTATGAAATATACTGAACAGCTAGTTTAAATAATCACTAATCATGTTCATAGGGAGTGTCTAGAAAGGGATTAAACCTTCCCATCTTTGCCTTGAACATAAAGACACCCATAGATAATGTCACCACATTCCACAAGCAAGAGACTTTCGCTGATATGGTTCAGAAAAAAAAAAAATGGCAGTATGCAGACCAGCCAGATGGCAGAGTGAAAAGATGTAATTAAAAAAAAATTCATAGCTAGCTACTTGTAAAAATATTTTTCAAGAAAGTTACATGAAATTTGTACTTTCACCAAGGCATTCCACGCCACTGCGCATACGCAGAATTGCAAATTGTACACTTGATCGTTGTTGTTAACTGTTTTTTTTTTTTTTTGCATCATATCGTTTCGGACAAAGTTTGACAGAAATTCTACATTGGTCGAGTGTTATCTGCCTGGTTGCGAAATTTAACTGTGCCTTACAGCCCTAAAGAAGAAGAATGATTTTGAGAATTAGGATTTTACCGACCAAATTCTTTACAAAATAATAACAAATAAACATCGGAAATTTGCAGACCGGTCAGATGGCAGAAATTAAAAGTATTTTAAAAAAGTTTATAGGTAGTTACTTACAAAATACTTGCGAGAGTTGCGTGACATTTTGTACTTTCACTAAGGTTTTCCCCAGTCTCCCGCTACGGCCGGCGCAAAATTACAAATTGTTCACTCGACCGTTGTTGTCAACCGTTCTCGCGCCATTTCGTTTCGGCAAAGTTTTACAGAAATTTTACTTTGGTTGAGTGTTATCTACCTCGTTGTGAAATTTAATTGTGTCTAAAGCCCTGAAGAAGAATAATGATCTCGAGAATTAGGATTTTACAAGCCAAGTTCTTTACAAAATAACTAATGTTACTGTCGCTTAAAATACAGAAAATAACGCAGTCGGTAAGTAACATGAGTTTACAGCACACCAGAGGAGATAAATCGCGTTTTGCTTTTCTTGGGAAAGAACACTACGATTACACATTCAAGGTTGCGATATCCTTGTTTTATTCTGTCACGTGAAGGGGCCTCAGGTGAATAGTTTACACATCTAAGCACATAGAAAGCACACGTATGATTGTGCACGACACTCGCTTTATAACTCAAGGAACACATTGGTCTTGGTAGTTTAAGTACCTTGAGAAGATTTCTAAAAAAACCACTAGTGCACGACTGGTAATGAAGCAAATGAAGGCAAATCATCCCGAAGGTAAGTGCAACTGACTTTTATTCATTAAGTTCACGTTATCAACATTATACATCTGGAAGGTGATGCGATAGACTTATTTCTCGCACTTTTTAGATTCTTTCAGCATGGACGAAAAAAGTGACGATAAGTTTATGTAATTGCAAGGCCACGGTATTTTTATACAAGGCAAAACAAAAATGATGTGGAATTGAAGTCAGAGCAACAATTCTACTGTATGAACTGAGTATACTCAAAAGTGGTTTTATTCAAAAAGTAAGTAATAGGTGATCTTTCTCTGCCACATGAAAACTTACCCAAAAAAAACTTCATCTGGCTCAATAGATGTAACTGTAGGATCAGGAGTAAATACAAATATTCCCCTTGGACTGGTTGGAGTAAAACCATCAAATGACACTGTGACACCTGTACTTGCATTTGCTGCACTTCTTTTTCTTCGACTAAATGCACTGCTAACTGTACATGATACGCTGTCATTGGTCACCCTATTGACATGGACCATTTCAGTCAAAGTTAATTTAATTAAAACTTTTTTAATACACTATCATAAAATTATGTCTCTGTTTACAACTACTTTGGTAAAATTGTAAGTTTTTCCATTTTATAAGGCACACACTTATGCTTAAAATTAAATCTTGATTCATTAGGTATTCAAATTAATGACTTGAAACCCCAGAGTCACACACAGTAAGGTTAGGAGGCCTGTACTTTAAATATCTAAAAATAAACAATTCAATTCTGTGCAAACAAAAAACTTGAAAAACTGAACAATTGTTCTTACAATGTTCCTAAAAGTGAATGGAAGAAACTTACTTATCTCTGTCAACAACACACTTTCGGCCAGCAACTGTAGCTGTAATGTGTCTGCCAGTATTCATTTTCAGACCAGTGATTTTTACAGTCGTGCCTCCAGATCTGGGACCCTTCTTGGGATTAAAATCCATTGGCTCTGGGATCTACAGGTGAATGGAAACATTTCTTATACATGAAAAAGCAATTAAGAATAGCCCATACATGTAAAGCAGTACAAAAGTAAGAACATGCAACTAAGCATGTATGTAAAAACATGCAACTAAACATAAACATCTATATTGACAAAATCAGACACTTATTTCAGGGATTTCTAGTCACCAATGCCAGCTCTTAACCCAGCTACACGTTTTTCATAGGTTTCTACAATAAGTAGAGATAACTTGTCGACAAGGCAAGATTGTGTGCACTTAACTTAATAGACATTTGTGTTCCAAGTTTGTTTCGAAAATTGAAAGCAGTGCATTGACTGTGTTCCATTTGTTGAAAAGCAGGCAGGAAGTGGCTAGAGCACAAAAGAAAAACCAGTATTTTCTTCCAACATACCTGATAGGAAAAAAGCTGCTTTGATTCTCCTTTGATTTTACTGACTGACACAGAAACTGGACCACTCAAAGGTCCAATACTTTTTGAAGTGTTACAGAAAATACTGCAAAAAGAAAATAAGCATAAAGCATTCAAGCAAAGTCAACATTATTTCTTTTAATCAAAACAAATATTGAATAATGCCAGGTGTTATGAGGCATGTTGAGTGTCCAAAAGACTACAAGGCACATGATAGTTTCAGAAACAAAAGATTTGTTTAGTTTGAATAGACATTTCAGTTATTTACCTTTTGGAGGGTTGATATTTAGTTTCATCAGGATAACATTTAATGTCTGCCACCCGAACAAAGTCTTTTATGTCATTAAACGTTTTTCCCAGGTCAGATCCATGAATTTCAATCTCTGTTCCCCCAGCCACTGGACCAGTTAATGGCCATACCTAAAAACATGTTACAAAAAGTACAGCAGAACCCATTACAGCATTTCTCTATGAAATCAAGGAAAAGGTCCCCATGAAATGGTGATAAGAAAGAAAAACAAAATATGACAGAAAGATTTTGCTTCTGCTCATAATAATTGTTTTTTACCCAATTACATTGCTTCCTACTAAACAAAGAAACCCAAAAAAATATTCTACACAACATTTATGGAATTCAACAAAAGATACAAGATAAAAGAAAAATCACATTGATTCAGATGGTAGAAGTTAAGAGAAAATTAAATTAAATGTTATACCTTGGATATTTTGGGTCTTGTAAGGCACAGTGATGTAGGTGGAATCCATGCTCCTGTATCTCCACAAGCTTTTTGTACAACACACTTTGGGACACCAAAGTTGCACCACCCACATTGAAAATTTTTATCATTTTCCACGTGACAGCTGCTACAGTCTTTTATGGATACCCAACACTTGTACAGATACACTAAATAGAAAATATAGATATACTTTATAATTATGTTCAGCAATTGATCTAACTGTCAAAATCTTTTAAGTGCTCAACATAATTTGCACCAAAGGTAAACAAAACTTTGAAGTTGCATATTTAGTAGAGAGAATTAGAAGCGGTACATGCAAGTTCTTTGCTGAATACAAATCAATTAAAACAAGAACACTTTTTGAGGTGGTCCCCATCTACACTTTTTTTGGTATTGATCAGTCCTGGGCTTAAATTCTCTCCTTTTAGCACACACTTGGTTTCCATCTTGTTTGCATTCAATGATGCATTTATTTCATAAAAAAGCAAATTAAGTAAGTCAAAGGATTATCTTACAAATGAACAACTTTTTAAACTTTTACTCAGCTTCAAGAAACAGGTTTCACAATACACACTTTTAAATTGGTTTCAAGAATTTAAACAAGTAAACAAACAAATAACTTTCAGCTTTCTTAGTTCAATTGAAGTGTTTATCCAAATTTACAGTTTCCTTTGAGAAACCTATCACATATAGCTCCCAAAGACAAAATTCAAAAGCTATCCTAATTTTAAACATTACACATTGATTATTGTCAGAATGGTTAGAGCATGGTGTGATACAGAATCAAAAGCAGCCAATGTACAGAAATAGTAGAATAGCAACCTTTCACCAAAATATATGAGAGAACAATTATCATGGTTCTCCATCACTTCCCCTTTATGAATTTGAAGTACTGTAGATAACTTTAAAAGTTAAGATGGTATTGCATTTTGCAAAATTAGCAGATGAATGTAACAAAGACTGTAAGTTTTAAAAACTTGAAAGTGAAGTACTTCCCACATTTTAAGTAACTTGAAATTTAATGGTAATTATTTTTAATTATTATATTGCAAGTACCATGTGCTGTACATGAATGTCATTTCAAATAATAACTTGGATCAATTAATACAATTATTCTTTTAAATGAACATTTAATTGTTTGTCTCACAGAGTATGAGTCAGGCTAATCAATCATGTACTAATTGCAACTTTTCAACTGCTATGCTGCTAGTCCTCATCACACAACAAGGAAAAAAATTTGCTTATTTGTAGCACCTTGGTTGTCATTGGTGGGTTTTTTGTGCACTGTCATTTGTGCATTTTGATCCTCATTCCTATTCTAAGTATTACATGTTATTCCCTCAAAAGTCTGCTCTGCTACTGATTGCCTGTTATGGTTTCTGATCATGGACATCCACACTTCAGGAATTTCAATTCCATTATCTTTATTGACATTATTAGGATGAAGTTCAGAGAACAATATCTAATACTCAGAAAAACACAGTCACTCAATAAATTATTCCTAGCATGCATTCTACACCAAATTAAAAAAAATGCAGCTTTACAAGCAGTACCTTTGAAAGTATTTGGTGTGTGCACGACATCTGAATTCCTGAAGATCACTTCCAATTTCACCTCCTGTTTCTTGTTGGATGCACTGTACTTATACTTAAAAATAAAAAATAGGTTTAACTGGGTGTCTTTTTATTTCTTCTGCTGATTCTTTAAAAAAAATGCTTGAAAGACTAAAAGAAATCGGAGTGGCTGCCAGCCTCAGAACTTGGAAAATGAATTATGCTGGGCTCAAGGTCAAGGCCACTGAACTGACTTGAGTTGGTATTTTCAAACTTTTGGATAAAGAAATTCATGTTTTATCCACAAGGTCCACTTGCCAAAGCACATTCTCAACAGTAACATGCTCTGCAAACTTTCAAAATGAAAAGCACTCCTCCTCTTGACTGAGGATTGATCCCTAATGGTAGCAAGTCTTTAATTTCCTTTCTTTCTCTTTTTTTATAACCTTCTTCTTCAAAGAAATGTTTTTTCTACCATTTCACCCAGAATTTACATGTACCAGTAATCACTTAAAAATTTATTGCACAGCAATCGGCACTCAAGTAATTTAGGGTAAGAAACCAGTTATTGAAGTGCAATGAAGTGAAGGTTTTTTTAATTCCAGAGTACAGTTCATAGATTTTGACTTTTAAGCAATTTGAATTTACTATTAGATACAATTTAACAACTTTAATAGCTATACATACTTCCATAGGAGAGCACACCAACTCTGTATCACTAATTCGTTTGGCATCTGATGTCTTCCTTGATCCATCAACTGTTATAACACATTTGTAAGAGGCACCATCCTATCCACAGAAATCAAAAAGAAAATTATCAGGCAAAGAGTGATATGGTCAGTCATTCCACAAACATCAGTTTTATAGTCGCACTCAACCCACAGACGTTTAACACACCAGTATTTACAAACTTACATTCTGCAAACAATGGTTTATAATTCATAGTCACAGTCAACCCACAAACATTTATGAGTAAAGCCACACTCAACCCACACAAAGCAATTTTATAGTCAAATTCAACCTGCAAATAGTTATTGAGTCAAAATGTCACCAGCCTACCCACAAACACCCCTGGATATATTGAAGTTAAAGTCAACCCACCAGCTAAAATATTTAACTATAACCACAATAAACCAACAAGTAGTTACAAAGTCACCATGAAAACAAACAGTTTATAAAAGATCACCAAAAGTCAAGTTTAACGGAGTATTAACCTAATCTTGCATACTGTAAAATTATTCTTAGCATTGGTAACAGTACTGAATGGAGTCCAATTTGGCCTGATTATACAAATAATCAACAAAATGAGATGACCATGAAGTGGGAGTTCAATTTGTTAATCTCACGTGTGATTGAAGACAGAATTGGATGACAAGAAATCCTGTTACCAAGACAATGTCAAAATTAAAGACAAACTAGCCTTCAGTTATAAATTTTCATACAAAAAAAAAACAACAGATAACACACTGAAATATGTGAAAACAGCATGCACATATGACACACACTGTCTAATTAAATAATTACCATCCAAGTGCAAGCATGACGCCTGCACTGTCCTATTCTGCTAAAATCAGGCTGGTTATAACCAATAAAGTTTGATTATTTTGCTATAGTTTTGATTAAGCCACAAATAAGAGCTTTTAAGAACCACTCATATTTGAGCATTTGGCATAATTAACTATTTACAATTTATAGTGTCAAGTGTCATGCATACTACAACACCACCTTTTCCAGAGGAAGATTTTTAGCAGGCACAGTAAAGTTGGTATTGACTTGTGCAGGAACAAGAACTGGCTTGTCAGCTATTATTTGGGGGCAACCATTTGAATCAGCAACACGATCCTATAGACAGCACAACATGTTTGTAAATTGACAACCACAATTTACATGTAATTACAGCAAGCAGGTACAACCATTACACTATGTTGTTTGGTAATTCAATTGCACAATTCTTAATTTAAAGACTTTTTGTCAAAACATAACTGTAAGAGAACATTGATAAATGATGGAAGTCAACTAAATTACTGAACAGTTGCCACTACTCTCCCAACCAAGGCTGTCTCTCTCCTCTTTCCTCCATATCCCCTATTTTTGTCGAAGAGGAATGGGTAACTACAAAGAAAAGTATAATTGTAGCACCAATACTACAAATTTTCCCAAACATTTATTTGAGGAACAGTACCAAGACCATGTAAGACATGTTTCTTGCTCTGGTCAGGTTAATACACTGTGAAGTATTGACAGATACCTGTAGAGGCATTATAAATTCCCCAGGACAGTCCACATTCCCATTGCTGGTGCATATCCCACGATATGTGCACCATTTGCATGTGTAATTTCCTTCTGCACAATTTATGCACCTAAATCAGATGAAATTGTAGTTAAATAACAACATTTTCATGTACATAATGTACACAAGAGAAGCCAAAATTTTATTCGGTGTATGGAATGCACAAGCAAATAAGGTAAAAATTGTTGAGATAATAACCCCAGCATTCAGGCATCAGGAACATTTGAATAACACGATCTGTCAATATTATCATAATATTGCCCATTATAAAAGCATTTGGCACTGACTCCTCCAGAAGGATGTGAAATTTATTACTTCTAGGATTAAATATATTTTATGAACATGTACCAACTGAAAGACTACTAGTCTAACTAATAACATAAGGACACTCAGTAGCTTACTTAATCGCTTGAATGAAGCCAAAGAAAAAATTCATGTAGTGGCAATCATGCTGGCACATGCAATTTTATAAAGATTTATTCATAAGATGGAAGTTAGCACACAGGGAGATCATGCGTGTCAAAGGCAAAACAGGGCACTCACCAGCAGTTGTACAAACCAGTTAAAATATGCATAACACTTGAAGAGGAGAAAACTTAAAAATGAACTCACTAAATAATCCTTAAATCCTTAGATAGACCCAACCCGCAAATGTGCAGAAACTCCTTGTACAAAATTTCTGCAGCTACTACAGTATATATTTTCATTTCAGAGTACAAACAACTAAAAGCACCAACAGTTCAATTTCTTGCTACAAAGTTCTTGGCCAAAGAAGTGAAATCAACCTCTGTAGATGCATGTAAGGCTGTGAGTCTAGTGTCAATACTGAGTAGCGCTTTGAAAAATACACCGTGTATTACTACCACTTCCATTTTTTTCCTTATTACCTTATTACACAACATAAATGCTGGCATGTGCATTTTTCATAGTTTTATGTCTCCTATTGTCGATGAAACCAATATGGAAAAACACATTACCTTGTTATGCATAATAAGCTAGAACATGAAAAAGAATGATCCTGAAATAGGTAGTATATGTTGGAAAACATACTCACCCCTTAATTGCAGGACAGCTGTAAAACGCTAGCTTTTCAATAAGGAATACCATCTGGGACTCAGTGGAGAAGAGGGCAAGATCTACGAATACATCACCTTGTAGTAAAGAACAATATGTTGTTTACTTCCAAATCTACACAGAATTGCGTAGGAATAGATTAAACAATTAGCTTACACAATCATCCTCAGTCGAGAGTACTCCCGACTGTAAAGGGAATATTTGTTTCCACCAAGCAAACAAGTCAATTATTTTTAAAAATATTACTTTCATAATTACTAACTCTGTCACTAAATGTTTTTCCCTTGATTTGGCTGTAATTAGCAAGAGGAAAATACTGTTAAGCAAGCAAGATATACTTTTCCTTGGCTTGCTTTGAGCAATTTAAAATTTACACTTATTACCTCCTTTCTCCTCCTATGAGTGAAGACAGAAAAGTTAAAACAACAGACTTAAAAATGTATGTCATTGACATGTTTGAGTAATAATATAGATTAAAATTGGAGGAACTCTAACCAATTGTTCGGTTTAAAAATGGGATTCTCTTAAGAATTGGTTGGCTCAGGTTGGAGTAGTGAGTTGTTTTGCCATGAATCAATTATTTTAAAGCGTATAATAAATATATACCGTTATCACTTGTAATGCTTGGCAAATCTTTCTCAGGTGGTGTTCGACATTTCAGTTCATTTCCTGGGCCCACAGTTGTTGTGCTATGTTCTTTACCATGTACAAAACACTTCAATCCTGCTAATGATGGTACATTGGATACCCTTATGGTCAGCTGATTAAGCAAATAACAAGACATTTCAATTTTATTCACATTTATCATTGGATGGATGATGGTTTGCAGAAATTATGGCAAGTAAGCACAATTGATAATTTTGAGAAGTTTTGAAGTTGATTACATGTCTAAATCACTGTTCAATGCGAAGCATGTGACCAGGCATCCCAGACAATGATGATTGCAAGTGTGGATTATATAAAAATGTGGTTATTTTCTTTCCTCTTCCTGAGAAACTCAATAAAAGTGCTATTCAGAAGTCCAGGGAATATGGGATGGCTCTTCAGCCAAGAATACAGGCAAGACCTTTCATTTCATCATTAGGTCATAAAATAAGATTGAAGGCTTGAATAAGTGCCTAGTGAAAAGCTCTATGAAGAAAGTGTCATGAGTTGAGTTGTGCTATTCTTGTCCATGTTAACTGAGTTAGATTCATATACATATACAGCAGCCAAACAAATGTCTGTCTTAGTTTTAAATGTTGAACTACATTGTACACATATGAGACAAAGAAACTTTACAAATGTTCTCATTCATGAATGAAAATTAATCCAATACTACATGTTTTAAAAAGTAATCTTTGTCTGAATCATAACTTGAAAAAACACATTGTGAATTAAAAATCACCAAACATTGATACAGCACCCTCTTATAATAATTATAAAAGAACTGTGAAAGTTGTTTCACACACTTCAATACTTGGACCATAGGGAACTTGTTTAGGGCTGATAGAAGCAAATGCTGGACAGTTAGATGAGTTCGTCACATATCGCAATGGATGTGCATCAGAGCTAGGGCAGCTAGTCTTCTGAGAACATCTTCAAAAGAACAACAGATGACAAGTTTTTGTGAAAACAGGAAACTCATCCAATTTTCCAATTTTCCAATTCATATTTTCATTGCAATATCCTATACAAGGATAAGTGTACCATCCATCCCCAATATAGATTCTTATCAGTTTCCTATTTACAACACAGGCAGCACATCTGTAACCCCTATGCCCTTCCAAACTTGCAGTGCAACTAATTAATGCAAGTTTATGAACTGCAGGTCAAAAAGTATGTCTATTTAAGAGAGAAACCAAAAAGAAACATTGAAAATTGCAGTAATAACACAAGTTTTCAACCTCATTCTAGATACATGCAAACAATACAAGTTTTCAACCTCCCTCAAGATACATGCAAATTACCTCTTATAAAATGTACACCAACCACAGAATGGGTTATTTGGTTTTGTGCACTTATCACAAGATTTTGAAGCACCGCAGTCTTCAACAGGTAATTGTGTCACCTTCAGTAAAATAAAATTTAATTCACAGAATCAATATCATTACCAGCCTTGTAAGAGGTACTTCAAGTACTTGATCAATTATGTGCTGCATCATTTTGAACAAGAAAAGTAAGGATGTTTTTGGAAAAATTTTACCAATTACATATGAAGCAAAGTCAGACATGTGGATCAGGCTTATTGGATGGCTACAAATTAAATATGAAGCAGAAAACAGTGTTCACCATTTCTAAACACCCACTCTAATTCTTTAAAAATATGTACATAAAAGTTTCACAAGATTTCTGAAAATAATATTTGATGTATCTTTCATATTACACATTGATTTCTATAAGGGACATTTGCATCCATGGTTACAAAATGCAGACAAACACATAGTATTTAGCAACACTGTACCTTGTGTTTACTAAGGATGTACAAGTGTTGCTGGTCACTGGTTACTATGATCTGACGCACTTCATCAGAGCTGATTTTCAACTCACTGTAAGGTTCCACTTCCTGTTGTCCATCTTCCACAGACAACTTTTGAGTAAATGCAACAAAGCAATATCAAATTTTTCATTCTTAAGCTCAGCAGTGTCTTCTAAATTCCATAACAACAATTATATCTATAACAGTTACTGTTTGTAAAGGAAGCCTTCACTTGTGGAACAAGTTTCCATTCAATTGATGAAAATTTGTCAAATTGACTGATCAGAAAATTAAGAAACAAGAACCACAAAGTATAAAAAATGGAAAAAAACACAAGAAATACTAGGCATATCACTGTAAGGTGCAATAGGGTTGTGATAGTGTAGTCTGGTTGTCTAGGTGAGTGTATTCCTAAAATGGACTGTTGTGGATAGTGGTGACTGATGACAGAATAGTTGTTGTCTGTCAAATGTTCAAAGTCTGGTTTGTATAAAATGACTTGCCATTTTTACCATGAGGCTTTTGGTTGTAAGACTCAAGCAGAGTGACCATTGTGATTGATCATTTTTGATCAGTCGTTAATGTCACTGTCATGAACAAGTCCTTTGTATTATGCCAGCACAATTTGACTATTTTAGTCAGTAGTAGCAATGAGTGTCAATAGCCTCATCTTCTTGAGTGTCAGTAGGTTACTGTTGAGTTTGGGTTGAAGTGCAGGAGTCAGGTCACCCTTAAATTCTGCATAACAGGGCATGAAATTGTGCCTAATACAGGCGCCAATGCGACTAAATTTTTCACTTTGGCGACCAAATCCTGAAAGTTAGTTGCCAAATTGGCGACTAGAACGTTTCATCATAACCTTACCAAGAGATATAGTGCATTAAAAAGATTTGCAAAGATAAATCTGCGGCAAACTTCCGCGTTAAGTTTGTTTCCAAAACGTAGCACATGCATCTCGATCGATAACTAGACGCCATCTTGGATTTAGATGAGCCTGAAAGTTGTATATCATCCATCCTAGTGTCCACTTTGTAGCACGTTAAAGATCTTTCCCTAACTTAATTTTGGAGGGTCTATCTAGAACGCTGACAGCGTAAAGAAAGATTTTGTTTGTCTTTGAAAATGGCGACCAACTTTTTTTGAATTGGCTACCACTTTGAAGAATTTAGGAGCCAAGTGGCTTTCAGAAAAAAAAGTTAATTTCACGCCCTGCATAGGTTTGTTTGTTGTTGACTAGTGCATTCATTTTGTTGTGATAGTCAGTTCTGTCCATGCTAACAGTAACTAATCCTTTGTTGGCTGGTAGTATAGCCATGTCCTTGTTGTTTTTGGTCATTACAGTGCATTTTGTTTGTCTATAAGCAAGTTGCTGCCATGCAGTGAACATGATTGAATAGTGGAAGCAATTCTTCTTCTGATGATGAATAAGTGGCTCTCCTTGAATAAGTCCTCATGATAAACTGCCCCTCCCCCTCCTCCTTAACATGGCAATTATTGTAAAATCCTTGAAGAATTTCTCTATCAAATGCAGAGACAGCTTTGCTGTTGCTTTTTAAATCCACCTTATAAAGAAGCTTGTTTTCTACAGTGTAATTTATTATTGACAATAAACTTCATTACCTTAAGAAGCTGACCACCATGGGTTCCCACAAAAATAACTGTATGATTGTAATATGGCATTGCAGCAACAGCAGTTAGCATTCCTTTCTCATATTGCATCACAGGTCTTTTAGTCAAAGGAGTTTTTCCACGAAATGGATGATAGCCAAATGAAATGCTAGTTGGACAGAAATTCTCGCTTATTCTTGGATTTGATTTCTATCAAAGATTAGAATAAAAACAATTTCAAACAGAGGCTCATACTGGTCTCTTGATCTTGAATTTTTGTGAATGCAGTTAAATCTAGTGTTATTAATTCACTTAACATGTGTTCAGGACAAATGAAAAAACAAAATGAGTAAGACTTGGTTCACCTCTAGAGCAAGAAAGTTTTACAATTGAGCAAAAAGCATGACAGGGCTTTGAAGCATTACAATAACTGTTACTCACCTTATGTGTTATGTAATATGAAATTAGAATACCCATTTACCTTATCTACAATAAAGATTTATAACCCATTAAGGAAAAGGACAAATTCATGTGTTCCAGTGTAGGGGGGATCAGTTGATTTCCCCTTCTTAGTCTCTGTCACACACTAAAAAATAACATGACTCATGAAGAATTCCTTCATCTGGAATATGTGTAAATTTCTATAACCTACTTTCTAATTGATAAATTATGGCACCCATTATTTACCTCATCGTCACATTTTCTAACTTTACCACCGGCCCATGGAAGACCAATCTCTTCATCATTAGCATTATTCACACAGTTCTGTAGGTTAGACACCAAAGTTGCCTTGATTTCTTTTACTGAATATGTACAGACTGCAGAGTATTGCGAAGGTCCACTCCAACCTTTGTCAACCTTGAAAAAAGTAACAACTAGCACATCTGTAGATGCATCAACTGCAAGGCCATCACCAGCTTTTGTAAGATAAGCTGACTGTGCTATGTTGAAGGATGTTCCATTTGACCCTTTGCAGTCAAGTGGCAATTCCATGTATGATGAATAGACTTCATCCTCTTGGCAGAGGCGAACTATAAATGTCTTGAATTTTGATTGATTGGTTGAACATCCACCTTTACAGTCCTTTGTAAATGATTCAACAGTCTGCTGCACAGACACAAAGTAATTGAAAATACCTGCTGAAAATGCATAAATAAATTTTGCATGATATATTACATTTTCTCTGTACTGAAGATAGCTATTAGCTGCGATAGCATCCTTAGCAGGATCAAAGAGGCGATTCAAATCATCAATTATACGGGTTGATACAGCTGGGGTAATATACTGCAAATCTGAAGATGTAAAGTATTCCTTGTCCCAAGAAGTTGCAACATAAAGTGCGCGTGTTCCTGAACGTTTCCCAGCTGGTGTTATCAATGCTGCTGCTTGTAAGGGTGTTCTAGACACCACATAAATTGTCCGATTGGTTTGTAATTTTAATGAGTCTAAACTTCGTATCTGACAAACTCCATGATTGAAGCTACCACAGACTATAAGCTGTCTTTTACTACTGTCTATCAGCAGTAGTTTGTTTATATTCGTTGTAACCTTTCCAGCACAAGTTTGGCCAAAGTCATGATAACAATCTACAAAGTCCAGATTAGGCCCAGTCGCTTGTCTTTTGAGTGCTACTAAATTTTCTGATGCTTTCAACAGCACATTGTCGCCTCCAATGAAGATATTTTTTGTGACATTGTCAAAAGCCATGTTATTAAGCACTTCAGATACTGGTAAATCTTTCCTGTTGAGATTTGCCACTGCATACTTAGTGGCAATAAAAAGGAGAACTGAAATGTGAAAAATCCATATGCTGTATTTTACCATGGCCATTGGAAACAAATGTTTGGGCCAGTATCTAAAAAGAGAGAAGAATGGGATTAACTGTTGACCTGGACATGACCTACATTCTGTAACTTTCCTCAAAAGCAGAAAAATGTTGACCACCTGAACTAGATTCTACAAGGCAAAACAAACATAACCAGACTAACAAAAACTGAGTTTAACACTTCTTTTTACAGGTGTGTAACATTTCCTGAGATATAAACCCCTTTTTGAATCATTCATATATTAGATACAGTGTGACTCATGATGGAATGTTTCAGTTAACAAAACAGTTGTCCATTTAATGTGGTCACCAGTCTGCATGTACCTTACACAGAGTAAAAAAGAAACAATTTCTACAGCTTCAATAATTCAAATAACTAATTAAAATTTTAATACAAGTAAATCCATCCAGATTATCAATTTCCTCCAGATGCTTTTCTACACTCAGTAAGTGATCTTTTTTTTTTTCTGCTTTGTTTTTCAAAAATTGAATAGTGATGCTTGTAGTTGTAATTCCCAACTTATTGGCTCCCATTTGAATCTCTTGTCTTGTGCATCACAATATTATCATGGAATTGATTAATGTGGTCACCAGTCTGCATGTACCTTACACAGAGTAAAAAAGAAACAATTTCTACAGCTTCAATAATTCAAATAACTAATTAAAATTTTAATACAAGTAAATCCATCCAGATTATCAATTTCCTCCAGATGCTTTTCTACACTCAGTATGTGATCTTTTTTTTTTTCTGCTTTGTTTTTCAAAAATTGAATAGTGATGCTTGTAGTTGTAATTCCCAACTTATTGGCTCCCATTTGAATCTCTTGTCTTGTGCATCACAATATTATCATGGAATTGATTGTAAGTAATCTGAACTAATTTCATCATTTATCATGGAACTGTTTAATTTCCATGATCCATTTTTGAATGCTTGATTTTGATATTTAGTAAAAAAATACTGGTGAACATGGGTGAACATCAAACAGAAGCTTAAACATTGGTGAACATCATCAATGACTATAACAGCTTAAGACGCGAACGAGTTATCTTGTTCGCGTCTGAAGCTGTTAGAGTCATTGGTGATGTTTACTTCGCTTTATTCGCCTTGAGATCCATTTAAACTTTGTTGCAAATAAAAAGAATTGCTTTTTACTAAAGATCTTGTCTAGAAAGCCAAGTTTTCTTTAAAAAATTTGAGCAATTGACATGATGAGTCTTTACGGTATTGTTGTTGCACAATAACTTGTTCGCGTCTGAAGCACATATAGTCATTGGTGATGTTTACTTTGCTTTATTCGCCTTGAGATCCTTATAAACCTTGTTGCAAATAAATAGAATTCCTTTTTATTAAAGATCATGTCTAGAAAGCCAAGTTTTCTTTAAAAAATCTGAGTGATTGGCATAATGAGTCTTTACAGTGTTGTTGTCGCACAATAACTCGTTCGCGTCTTAAGCTGTTATAGTCATTGGTGATGTTCACCAATGTTCACCAATGTTTAAGCTTCTGTTTGATGTTTACCAATGTTCACCATTGTTTTTTTTACTAAATATCGTTTACTTTTCTGTATGTTTAACTTCTAATAAGTTGTACTGGACTGAGGACCAACTTGCCAACGTCTCTACTTGATTTTATATGTTGGCGAGTTGGCGTCGGCGAGTTGGACTGTCGGCGAGTTGACTGTAATTCGATTTTAATTGCCTTATTCTTTAACAACTGCACTCATTACAAATTGTAAAAGTGGCTTTTCTACTAGGAAAAATCCAGTCTTGATGTAAGTCTCAGAGTTCTGGATTCATATGCATAGAATTTTTTTTGGCTTTCTGTTTCTCATAAAGTTCATTAGATCCCATTCACTTATTAGCAACTTGATTTGCTTGCAATACTTTGGCAACCTCCATTGAATGCTACCTTTCTCATGTCTTGATTCAAGACCTACAGTCAATTCCCCACCCACAACAAAGTTGCTACCACTCACTTTTGAAAGTCAAGGTGGTACTTAAATTTTGTATACATCATTGTTGAATTTGTTGAGGTTGGAGAATGTATAGAGGATATCGAGAAGCTGCTTAAGATGATTCCTTAGTTTAGCACCATGCATTCTGTATTGCACCTGAAAATCACATAATCTGGGGAATGAGTGCTCACAAATTCTGAGAACATGGTATTGTTTTTCAATCCATGGACCAAGTAAAGAGCTACAATGGTCTTCAGCTGTTGAACAAGCACGATGACCTATAGTTTTCATTGTAACATTTTGGTATACAATTTATCCCCTTTAAATTGAGGAGATAAACTAAAAAATTCTTTAAATGAAAAAAATAATAAAGCAAGAAGTGTTCATGAAGCCCTTTACTCAAGGATGCAAATTATGACATGGAAAGAGACAACTTGAGGAAGGTTTTGAGACAATGTTGTTTGAATTTGTGTGATTTTCCCACAAATTATATCAAATTGTTCCATACACAGGAGACTTTCTACCTATCAAGTTTTTTCCAATTGTTACTTTAAAAACCCTTGCCTGAAATGATGAAATGATGTGCAAGATTAGTGCCAGTAATGGCATAAATGGGGTACGTTTGGCCTGTTGTATCTCTTGAACAAGCACAGTGACCTATCTCTTTTATTTTATTTTTAGAAACAGACATTGATAAGGAACATTTAGGTTTAAAGAAATTGTTTGATAACTTTATATTTCTGAGGAATCACCTGAATGGTCAAGAGTTACAGAAAAGTTCTCCAATGTGTCCTAATATAAGATACTTTCTACCTACCAAGTTCTTTCAATCATTACTTTAGATACCCTTGCTTCCAGCTGCAGCAAAATATATTGTGAACTGTTGAAATGACGTGAGAGATTGGTGCTATTAAAGGCATAAATAGGGTAAGTTTGGCCTTTTGTATCCCTTGAACAAGTACAAGCACCTAAGTGACCTATCCTTTTGGATGCAGTTAAATGCAATTTAACAGAGTTAACAACAAAGAGCATCAATGTTTTCTAGTCAGTGGTTTTCACAAATGCACATGCACAGGAATTCTCATGAGCTTTGCGTTGGAGGCATTCTTGTGTGTACTTTGAGCATGTTCTTTTAGCATTGCAAGGAGTGGCAGCTCTTTGTCCAGGCAGTTTCTAGTCTTGCTTGTTTGTTTTTTATCTCAAAAGGCTTAAGAGTTATTAAATCAGTTGTTTGTTTTCCGTGGCAGTCAACTACCTTCATTCATATGGATCAGCTTTCAGGGCCTTTTTAACAAATAACAGTGCAGCCGCTGTGCTGGAATCATTAGAACTACTTTCTTCCATCTTGTCCTCTGCTGATTCTCCTCCTTCCTCAACAGAGACCCCCATTGCCTTGGGGTTTCATGTGCGGCAGCTCTTCGTCCAGGCAATTTTTCCCCACCCATTCCCTCCCTCCTTCCACTGTCTACTCAGTGTGACAGGTGCCTGTTCCCCTATCCTGTGTAGGTGCTCATGGCTGGGGCTGGCTGCCACTAGTGAATTCAGAATTCAGGCACCCAACCTCCAATTAGCGATGCAGTTGTTAATTGTATTTTTGAAACAGACATTGATTGGGAACATTTAAGGAAGGTTTAAAAAAATTGTTTCATAACTTTATATTTCTGAGGAATCACCTTATTGGTCAAGAGTAATGGTCAGTTAAGTTCTGCTATGTGTGTCCTAATATAAGCTTTCTATTGATACATTAATACTTGTGGAGTTTGTAAGAGTAAGGTAAGTGCTATTTGAAAAGTAAATTTTTCCTCTCTATTCACTTTTCAAATAGATTCATCTCTTTGTTACATTTCTTAGAGAAGATAAAATTAGCATTTTTGGTTTTTTACATACACGAATAAAATAAAATAACTAAAATATGTAAAACACAAACTCCACCAAGGAGTAAAAGGTTGTTTGGATCACATCTGGATGTTACTCAGTGCAAAAAACATTACAATCCTCTTTAAATGCTTGATGTAGTTTCAGATCATTCTCGGTCTCACAGCAGTAGAGACAAAGTTGATTCAAACTCAACAGTTTGAAAATAACAGAAAAAATATTTGAGCAGATATGATACATAATGCAATATAGGTGCTGCTCACGAGGCTGTCTCTTTAAGTAATCAAACTGTGCGATGCATGTGTTGCTTATCACAAGAGGAGGATCAGATTACAAATACATTGTACACAGACATCTGCGATTGTGTTTGAAGCTCCACCATTAGAACAAAAAAAGAAGTTTCCTGTTTGCCATCAGCACCTCTTGAGGAAAAAATAAGCTCACACGACAAAGCGCTGAGGCTATCGTAGCGATAAGCAGCAGGTGTAGGCAATGATCAATAACCACAACCTTCGCAAAGCGTTTTTCTCGACTTTCACACTTACCACACATTCTACATAATACCAGCGATCGACCTCTTTCGCAAGGAGTTAAGTTTCAATTGTTAATATCATAAAAACTCGATCTGCTTCAAATGACCAAAGAAACCAAGCTTTGACTTTCTTGACCAAGAGTTTTTTCAACAAACAGTTACAAAATGAAACCTTACAATTACAACGACGCTAAGGTATAATATGTACAGGGACCAATCGATACGAAATAAGTTTAGCATGGACCTAACATTCTCTGTAACAGTTCCACTTTCAGGCAAACCCGGAATTGCTGGAATATTCTATGGAAAGTCTTAGACGGACATACTTCAAGTAGCAAAAGGTCGGTGTGATTCGTAGGACTTTAAGATTGGTTATTGTGTAGTAAGCTTACCTGAATCACAAATACAGATCGAATCCTTTTCTTGCATACGTCTAGAGCCAAGGACGTGAAAGAGAAAATTTCGTGCTTCCTAGAAAACGGACAACCCGGCAAACACAGATTTTCTGTTTGTGGAATTTTGAAAATATTTAAGAGAAGTGAGACAAGCGAGCCTTGCCCAAATTAATAACGCCCGCGAACATTTGTCTAAAACTGCGCATGTACTTCATGTAAAGCTTATTTTAAGAAGCGTCGGCCTCGTC